CTGTACGTCCCCTCCACAGGTCCCATGGCATGAAAAATGCATCCATCTCGCTTTCCAAGCGCGGGGAAGTTCCAGCGTACTGGATAGGTTCTGCGGAGAAACACCAAAAATATCTGAAACTCGGTTTTGAGGGTGTCCCTCTACTTACCCACGAGGAGAGTCAAGGCAAACAATGTTCTGGAAGTTTCATGACCTGGTTCTCGGCGGTTTGGTCGGCGGTCAATCCTATACCTAGGATATACTTAGTTTCTACCACCATCATTTTAGTAGAGGTGCTCTTTGATGAGAGGGTTTTTGAAAATGAGATGGTCTTTCCTTGTCCGCCCCCAACGCTCCGTATACTTTTTCTAACGGGGGTTACACAGAACCGCGTCCCAGAACAAGAATCGGCGCCTGCTTCCAGATGCCATCGCCCGGCTGGCGCAAGGGCACCTGCGGCAACGGACCCGGAAGGGAAGCCTCAAGTTGAAACCAACGGACCGGAGCTGGTTGTTTCCGACTTTTCGCTTGCGTTCCCCAAGTATTGTTTGTCGTTGCGACTCGCTCAGTCCAACTAAGTGCGCGGCGTTTTCTTGTTAGGGGGCGTTTGACGGATTGGTACTGCCAACTTTCGGCTGCGTTCCCTAAGTAGCTGTGGGTCAAAACCAATGGTACCTTTTTGAGGCCGGTGCACCACCCACTTTTTGTCTATTTTAGTGGGGATTGGGATGTTCACGAAAGGGAACATGCCGTTCGAAGCAGAGCTGGGCGACGAAATGGTGACCTTTCAGAAGGGGTTGCCCAAAGAGCGTGTGTTAACACCCGCTTTTTGTTGGCATGCTCTTGTTGGCAGCTATTGTTTTTGTGTAGGTCCAAGAGACCTGGTGGCGTTTGACCCAAAGCGGGGCTGACAACTCCGCGGTTTCTCCCAACTCCGATGGATAACATGACAGCTCACCAGCCTGTACCGCCCTGAAACCAAGACATGCCCGCAAAGCCTGCACATGGCTATGATACTTCAACTGAGGGCCCCTTTGGTCCAGCACCCCTGGACACCATGTAGGTGATTCAACTGAAGTGCACCAACCACTTTGCAGAACCGAGGGCATCGGGTGGACTCGACCGCTACTGATCCCGGGCCTCTGCCACGCCCCGCACGTAGCCGTCATAGTCCGCGAGCGCCCGCTCCTGCGCCGAGCGCGATCTGGGGCGCTACGCAAGAGGGATTTGCACTCGGCGAATGGGGAAATCACCGCATTCAAGCTCGAAGGTAAGCTAGGATTGGCAGGATTGTTTGGGGCGACAACAAGTATGCACCCAACCAATAGAGAAGGGGCAACGCTGAAAACCCAGGCTCTGATCCAATGTGGATTGGTGGATGTTTTCCGAAGTGAGTCCTAAGCAAAACCCGGTAGAACAAACTAGAACAAATTGCCCAAGCGCATTTATCAAATTTACAAGGGCAAACTAATTCACGGATAGCAAGTGTTCGTTGCTGCCCTCCACTTGCCCTAAATCGGCTTTGGTTTTGGGCTCAAATGAACCTGATCACTGAAAACCTGCCTCCGCCAGGTACTTGTCATCAAAGTCTGTGCTGAAGACCTGCCAAGAAAACAAGTCGCGCAGTCTATCGATTTGCAAGAACCAGTTTGCAAAAGCTGGGCCGGTCAAGAAGAGGCATCCCAAATCCTAGTGCGACATACCTCCAAGTGAGGCCTCCTACTCTCCGGCAAGTTGTGCATTTTTCCAAAAAGGTAGTCTAAGAGGGATCGCCCACATACAGACCATCAACCTTCACAAACCGAAGTCACGCCAGTCTTCGAGAAATCCTGCTGGATTCAGAAGGGCGCCAAGAAGCCCGTGACTCTGATCCGACTAAAGCAACATCCTTGAGCCTCACAAACATAAGCCCACAAAGGATGCTTGACACGTGAGGCGCCAAAAAGTAACATGCCTTCCGTGGCACCTCGGGTCCACATTCACCCACCAGAGGGTTCTTTTTAGAGCCAAAACTGTCCTCCAGGACTCCTCAGTGATGCAAAGGCGTGACACGCGGATCGCCTCAATGGGGTGGTCCGTGGGATTCACGAGCCTCAGAGGCAAGGCTTTTTGGATTTTCTCGAACGCGTGGCTTGCGGTTGCTCGCTACTTGAAGCGGGCTTCGTCTGTAAACTCAGTTGTTCAGTGACCCTGGGAAAAAAAGGGAACCCTTGTTGGGGAAGACCATTTTTAGTGGGGCAGCCACGAAAACAAAGGGAAAAAGGGTACCACTGAACAACTGAGTAAAACAGTTGATCAAGACTAGCAACGTTGGATTGCTGGCGGCTGTTCGATTGGACTCTCGCCAAACAGACCTCAGGCATTGGTTTCACTGTAGCTTGCCGAAGGTAAATCAAATGCCCATTCATTGTGCCACTTCCTCTACGCAGCGAAGTTCAGTTGAGCAAGTTCAAACAAAATCCTGCTTCCAGCCTTTGTACAGCAACAGCACATAGCAGTGTTTGCCTTTTGTTTTACGAAAGACTATCCAAAGGCTGCATCTTGCTCGAGCTGCCTCTTGGCATGCGCTACAGTAAATGTTAATCCAGCTGATCGATTGAATGCCATAGCGTACACAGGGCCAAGTGCCAAAATGTGTCAAGCAATAGAAAGGCTGAGCAAGCTCATTCAAATCGCCAGGCACGCAAGTTTGCCGAAAGGCTCAAGCAACAAAATTGATCAAACATGATGCCCTGTTTCTTCGCCCGGGTCCGAGCCGCCAGAACTCCTCGGAGCATCCTTCGGCGTTGGGCATCACCTGAGGGCGGCGGGACCGAAGCGACGAAGGGACGAGGGCGGGTTTCTAGCTGTCCTCGAGATTTGGGAGGCTAGAATAAGTTGGTACCCGATTCTTTTTCGGTTTTTGTCTATTTGGTAGGGGAAGCCTCCCAAACGAAAAACAAACGGGTGAGAAAGGGCACCTAGCTGGGGGACCTAGGCGAAGGATTGTCATCATCTAAATTGGGTTCCAAGGCCATCCTTTTAATGGAGGTTTAACCCTAAGGGCCTACCGCACCAGCAAGAAATTCAACCGTTCGGGATTCAAATTTTAAGGCAGCCAAAGATGGCTCAGTTTGCAGTCAACTCATTCCCAGAATCTGGCTGTGGCTCAAAATTAAAGAGCTAGGGCAAGCCGCAGGTCTTTGTTTCCATTTTCCCAGGGCCATTTTGGGTACCATTCCTTGAGCCAGCCATTTTGAGCACCACCATTTTTGGTGCAAACAAAACATACCTACATGTGTTCTTTTTTGGGGGGAGCTAGTATGCATTGGGGGATTCGGTTTGCAAGGCAAACCAAGGAAACCAAAGCATATGTTGATGCATGTGTTGTCAAAACTCCTGAAGCATGGCTCGTGGCATCTCATAGTCCTCTATATTCTCCTCAATGGGGGCCTGAATGGTTGACTACATCGCCGTGACCATCCCTGATCATGTCCAAGGGCACTTTGACGTGTCCTTCTTTGGGGGGTACCCGTTTCGGGGGTGCTGTGTAGAGAAACCAAAGGAAAACCCAAACCCATTTGAGCGGCCCCCTATATCGCTATATGCGGAGGCAAAACACAAGAGCGATGGCCCCTTCCGCGGACTTGCTCTGTACATGTGCTTCGTCGTTTGCCTCTGCGGCGCATGTTTTACAAGCGTTGCTTCAGGGGAATGCAAAGGTAGGATAGCAAAAGCAGACGCACTTCCCGAAGGCTGCGCAGTAAGCAGCAAGATCTTGCCTCTTTGTGTCTGCAACTACTCAGATATTGCCTTTCATTGCCTGACAACGAGCTGGGTGGCAGGAAACCAGGCGCACGTGCCTAATGTTTCTTCCACAGAGCTGTCGCGAACCTTCCGCGAAATTGATGGTAGTGTTGGTCCTCTTGGCGATTTCACGACTGCTCTTCTAGCGAGCGTGGAACTTGTTGCATGCAGCAACACCTTTCTGGTTCTAATCGTTTCCCCGTGCGTGTCCATGCGCACAAACTGATAGAGTTCATATGAAAAAAAAACTGCCGCAAACATTCCGCGAAGGGGTCCCTTCCACAAAACCTTCTGCATACTACCGTTCGTGTGGCGCGGTGGACATGCTCAAGAGTACTGTCCCTCTCCCTACTACTTTCAAATTGCGGGCAAGGACCACGACGCTCACATACTGTTGACCCAGGATTAATAAACCCGTCCCATTCTTAGGGGGGTGTTCCCTCCAAAAGTGATGAATCCCCACTAAAAGGGGACACCCCCCCTATTAATCAACCAGGGGTTTATTAATCCGGGGTTAACATTAAACCTAACCAAGCAACCTGGTGAAATGCGGAAAACTGCCAATTCGGGCATCCACTGCACCATCTTTGAGTCAGCTTGCTACAGACGTATCTATGTCTCCGATTCTCTGGGGCTGCAGGACCCGGTAGCCGTAGCAAAGGTACGAAACGAGCACCAGAATCCAAGACCCAATCCAGCTGGTTACCTGCTTTTTGCTAGCGGGAATCACGGGGAGCATTTTTGCAAAACATCGGCTGGGTTGCCACTACGATGCTTGACGACACGCGGGCTTGTCGCTTTCGGAAGCTGCCGCTTTTTTGGGTGTGTCTTGAAAAAACGAACAGGGACGCCATCCAGTTTTGTGGTTTTCACATAGAGTGATGTTCCCGGTTTCACTGCGAGGCCCGCCCATTTTACAGGGTGTGTTCCGCATTTGCGGGGGGGGGGGGCATCTCTTTCTGGTTGCAAGGGACACCGAAGGCCCATTTTAGTGTGACCATGTGTCCCATTTGCCCACCGGAATGTTGGAATGCCGGATTCTCGGCGCAAGCCAGCCCTGTCCTCCGGAAAACTTGCCCCCCAAGAAGTGGTCGAAAGAAGCTTCTGCAAATGGGCATGTGTGAGGTTCGCAAGTTTTCAGAACTCCCCCATTTCGGATTTACCATCACAAGTTGCCCATCCAACGGCCCACTGTCGACAACTATTTGCGTGCAGTCGTCTGCACTGGCACTAAGTCAAGCGGCAGGGCCCAGCTGGTAGCTGAGACTGGGCCTCAGGTGGGGCCACGCCATGAGTTGCAATATGTCCTCAGTTGTTCAATGACCCTCAAAAAAAAGCAACCCTTTTTGGGGAAGACCATTCTTAGTGGGGCAGTCACCCAAAAAAAGGGAAAGGGTGCCACAGCTGAACAACTGAGTTTCACCAACCTAAGGCTGCATGATGAAACTGGCTCACAAGGGAAACATAAGGCCCGCTAGAAGTGGCAATCGAAACTCTGAACAACAGCCGGGGTTCCTGATGCCTGCAAACACGTCAGCATGTCAACAGGAAAACTCACCAGCGTTGGCTCAAAAGGTGATGTCTAAAATCACAACAAAAATAAATATACAGGCATGTCAACATTGGGGGGACCGAAATTGTGGTTGTCCTTCCTTTTTTTCCATTTAAAACCACAAACGCACCAAACAAGGGTGGTGTCCTTTTGGTTTCCCTTGAAACCGATCGACACAACGTCTCAAAAAGGGTCTGTCTTAAAATAGGGGATCCCTTGCATGGCTGGTTTCCCATTTAGTTTCCCTTAACTGAGGGATTTGCTGCGTGAAATCTACAACACTCCATCTTCCAGCACCTTGACACTGATTAAAACTTGTTTGGAGTGGTTCCATCTTTGATGGAGTTGATTTGGCGATTTGTTGTCGGTTTGTTGGAGGAATATTTGTTTGGTGAAGTTGGAAAAGCCAACCAGGAGGCCATTTGTTTGCAGCGAGGAAACTTTCGAAATGCCCCGAAGACGTCGCGTCTTCGACCACTCGCGGCAGACTCGACTGCACTCCGCACCATTCCAAGCTACGCTGGGTGCTAAATCGAGGGTCTGGATAAGTCACCAAATTACTCATCTCCTTTTGGTCTACCTTTTGATAAATTAAACCACCCAAGCTATTGATTGCACCCCAGATTCCTAAGCAGGGCTTAGGGTAATTCCCCCATTCTATTCAATCATCGTGCTTTTGAACCACAAGGCATTTATTTTTGCTCGTGCTCATGTTTGCCGGAAAACCTTCCCCGAACCAGCGGCATCCTCTATTGCCTTTCTCGGGGTCGGCTCAGCCGAGAAAAAAACAGTTTCTTCCCACAGCCGCTGAGCTGGAGCTAAATCTGGGTGAATTGTAGCGACCTCACACGACCTCAACCCAAATGGTGGTTTATGTGGGGAATATCCCCCCAACTGCCTTTCGGGCCCATTTGGAAGCCTTTTTTTCCTTTTGGGGTGATGTTTGAAGGGGTTCCCCAAAGAGATTCCCCTTGTTTCAAAATGTGATTTCTGGGGAAGGGGAAGGAAGACATGTCGATGTGAGACTACAAATTGGCAGCTATCAGAATGAACAGCGGCGTACCTCCAAGCATGGGCTAGGGTATTGTCCCCGTGTCACAAATGCCCAAATAGTCGCGAGACAGCAACCAGCTGTGTGCGGGCCCGAGCCAATAACACAGTCCAAACCCTTGCTTTGTTGGAACATGAGTTTGACTGGCTTCTAGGGGATTCCGGTTTTACAGGGAATTTGACCAGTTCAAGGGAGACTTGACTGGAGTTGGAGGGAGCGCATTGAACCACCCGCCGCTTCGCTGGGGGCCCAGCTTCACCTCCAAGCGCAGCAGGTCGCCGCGGCCAGTGACGTTGATGGTCTTCCGCTTTTGGTTGTCCCGCATGCGGATCTGCAGCATGCCTCAGCTCAGTCGGTGGTTGGTTTCAGTTCCAGGGTACACTTCCCCATTCTTGCCAGGAGCCCTTCTTTCCAGAAACCATCAGAACCCCAGGGGAAACAGCGATCGGTTTTTGAAAAGAACGATGGTTGAAAGGAATGGGGAATCAACTCCTGGATCAGTGGTGGGTTTTGTATTGCGCCAGGGTCTTTTTGGAGGGGAACCCCCGGATTTTTAAGTTGGTGTCAAAGGGACATCAAGAAGAAAACCACCATTTTAGGGGATCCCCAAGAAGACATACCGGTGGCATACCCATGTAGGCAACCAAGGAAAGGGGCTCATCTGTGCCCACATTTTCGGCTCATCTCCGCCCACACAGAAGTGACTCATCTGCGCCCACATTTTCTGACTCATGTGCGCCCACAGATTCTTTCGCGAATACTTAGAAGTTGACCCTTTGCAAAAACGGGGTCAGCGGAGGATCATCTGCGCCCACACTTTGGGCTCACCCCTGCCCACAGAGAGTTTTAGGGTTTTTTGGGCGTAGGGTCATTAGGGTTTATGTTTTTAGGGCTTAGGGTTTTTAGGGCTATGGGTTTTTAGGGTTTAGGGTTTTCAGGGTTTAGGAGCTTTGTTGATTAGGGCGTTTAAGGGTTTAGGGTTTAGGGCTTAGGATCTTTAGTGTTTAGGGTTTTTAGGGTTTAGGGATTTTAGGGTTTAGGGTTTTTAGGGTTTAGCGTTTTTTAGGGTTTAGGGGTTTCAGGGTTTTGGATCTTTAGTGTTTAGGGTTTAGGGTGTTTAGGGTTAAGGGTTTTTAGGGTTTAGGGTTTAGGGTTTTTAGGGTTTAGGGTTTTTAGGGTTTAGGCTCCTCAGGGTTTAGGATCTCAGTGTTTAGGGTTTTTAGGGTTAAGGGTTTTTAGGGTTTAGGGTCTTCAGGGTTTAGGATCTTCAGTGTTTAGGGTTTTTAGGGTTAAGGGTTTTTAGGGTTTAGGGTCTTCAGGGTTTAGGGATTTTAGGGTTTAGGGTCTGCAGGGTTTAGGATCTTCAGTGTTTAGGGTTTTTAGGGTTTAGGGTTTTTAGGGTTGGGGGTTTTTAGGGTTTAGGGTCTTCAGGGTTTAGGATCTTCAGTGTTTATGGTTTTTAGGGTTTAGGGTTGTTAGGGTTTAGGGGTTTCAGGGTTTAGGATCTTCAGTGTTTAGGGTTTTTAGGGTTAAGGGTTTTTAGGGTTTAGGGTTTTTAGGGTTTAGGGTTTTTAGAGTTTAGGGTCTTCAGGGTTTAGGATCTTCAGCGTTTAAGATTTTAGGGTTAAGGGTTTTTAGGGTTTAGGGGTTTTAGGGTTTAGGGTCTTCAGGGTTTAGGATCTTCAGTGCTTAGGGTTTTTAGGGTTAAGGGTTTTCAGGGTTTAGGGTTTTTAGGGTTTAGGGATTTTAGGGTTTAGGGTCTTCAGGGTTTAGGATCTTCAGTGTTTAGGGTTTTTAGGGTTAAGGGTTTTTAGGGTTTAGGGTTTTTAGAGTTTAGGGTTTTTAGGGTTTAGGGGTTTCAGGGTTTAGGATCTTTAGTGTTTAGGGTTTAACATTTTAGGGTTTAGGTTTTTTAGGGTTTAGGATCTTCAGTGTTGAAGGATTTTAGGGTTTAGGTTTTTTAAGGGTTCAGTTTTTTTGGGTTGAGGGTTTTTAGGGTTTAGGGTTTAGGGTTTTCAGGGTTTAGGATCTTTGACAACATGCTGAACGAAGCTTCTAAAACGCATCCTTGACTCCAGGAGCTCCCCTCATTACATTCAGGGACTTTTGGTGAAAGCGAATCACTCCAGGCTAGCCATTCTTGGCAGACTTGACTCAAGTCAACGACACTGCCGGCCACACCAACACATGAAACTACCAAACGAAGAGCAGGCAGTTGCAAAACCATGCACGGCACCTTACGTGGTCATCTCATGCTAGTTGGTCAATCTGGTTCTTTGTGATGCTTTTAAACAGCCCAACAGCCCCAAAACACCTAAGATCATCTGCACCCACACAATACTTGTGAGTACTGCATTTGTGAAGTTTAGAGCATAGGGGACTGCCATCAATCTGACTCATCTGCGCCCACCACGCGGGTAGAAACGAGTGGATTCCAGCGGGTACAGACGAGTCGCAAAACGCGGGTACAGACGAGGGGCCTACCGGTAACCAAGGGAGCCACCCTTGAAAATGCGACAGGTGAAGCTTGGCCTATCGATAGCAAAAAGGAGGCGCCGCGGCTTGAGCCGCGACAAGCTCCCGTATGGAAAAAACCAAAGGGGCGAAACCTGAGAAGACACCTACTGTGGATGGTTGCGAAATCCATTTCGCACCACCTAAGCAACCATGAGGCACCATAACGTTTGTTGGTATTTACAGGGAAACAACATTCCAGGGCTTCTTAGGTGGTGCGAAATGGATTTCGTCCATCCACAGTATGTCCTGACAAGCCCCGTGAGTGCGTTGCAACGTTTGGATCAAGTGCATAGTACAGAGGCGACTGCTGGCCATTGGACCTACACCTCTCATTGAATCTCAGAGGGGCAAAAGAGTGGCCAAAATTCTGGGTGAGGCGTGAATGATGTAATTGAACTGTTGAGAACGGGTGACTACTTGATGAATTAAGTCAACTTATTCCAGAGTGTTCAAAGTTATGTTGCTCTGTCTGGGGCCCATCATTAGGAATTACTGTGTTCATTTCCCGCTTGCCAAAGAAGAAGAGGAAGAAGAAACAAAAACAGGGAATAGCTAAGCTGAGATCAAATGGGTGTGGGTCAACAAATAATACCCAAAAAGGAACCCTGGAAAACGGAACCATGGACTAAAACCTGCGGGCCCATTCCTGGCCGTCGGTAACTCATGCCGGACCCCCACTGCCCTTTTGCCCTTTTGCCCCTGCCTGTGAAGTTTTGTGCCGTCTCGGGTGCGAAGGATGCCGTCAGCAGCCTAGAACTCGTCGAGTGTCGAGTGGTTTCTTTGGCGAAAACCACCGGTAACTCCCATGCAAGCCACTGCCAAGTCCAAGGGGCACAAGGATACCTGCAATGAACTGAGATCACGAATGCCTGGCGAATGGGCCAGTATAAATTCACCCAGGGGCCAATAGCGGGAGGTACGGGCCTTGGGCAACCAAACATTTAGCGTCCTGGGCAAAGCTGCTAAGATAAAAAAGACCTGGACCTTCAGCCTTAAGCAATTGAAATTTAGTCAAGGCTTAATCATCCGATGAACTGGATTTGCACAAACTAGTACACCTCGCAAACTGCACATGAGGAATCCGCATAACAAGAAGCGCAATCATGGGCGACTCGTTTAACCCTCAGGCGAGCTCGCCAGAATGCCAGAATCTGTGCAGAGTGGATACCACCGCAAATATGGCTGAAACATGACTCATGACATGAACATAATCTTTGCTGGCTGAACCTGTCTTTGTGCGTTGCTCCATGATGGGATGAGCCACATATTGGGCACCTGTAGATGGCTGCCAAACAGCCTGCTTGCGTGCAGTCCGTTTTTGTCTGTGAAACAATGAAACATCCGTGAAGTACAGCAAAAACCAAGCTGCTTTAGCTTTGGGATAAGGGACACGCTTGTAGAATGGCGCATCAGCCAACAAACCAGTGATGGGGTCGTAAACAGGTTGACCACCACCACGATATCCGGTCAAACACGCACAGTTTGCTGAAATCCAACCCCATAAATTCCGCTTGCAGTATAGCTTTTGGCCAAACACCCCAGCTCGCCTCCAAACCGAGTAATTACAGGCATTCATCTGAGTACTTCCTCCTCCACAGCACCTGCGAGACCCCCAAGATCAGCTTCCCCTATGGGGCGCTATGGGACGGAGGCTAACGGCGTCGCCGGTTTCAAGCGGTCGCCCCCGGTTCTGCCGGGCGCCCCGGCTTCCGCTCTCCGGGCTGCAGCACCCCGTAGGAGGGCGTGAGGTCGAAGGCAGACTCGAAAGGGGCGGAAGCGCGCCGTGAACGGGCAGAAACACGGGTATGGGTCAAATGGGCAGCCACATGAGTATGAGTGAAAATTAGACCCAGGATATGGACCGCAGGTTTTAGTTCATGTTTCCATTTACCATGGTTCCATTTGGGGTACCTATTTTTGACCCACAGCCACATGGCGATGCGTAGCTTGTTCCATTTCGTGGTGTAAGGAGTCCAACGCTCAGGTGGTCAGGCTTGCCCCCATCTGCCTTTTTGGGTTCACCTCCAAAAGTGGCGATCGTTTCAATGGACACCAGTGAATTGATCAACTATTGAAGGAGAAATCCAGTGACCCCTGGTGGTTGCAGAGCTTCTGGCATCTGTGCGGGAACCCTGTGCCCTTGAACGACCTTACATTCATGAAAGCAACATATCCGGCCACTTACAAACAACCACAACTCACTTCGCCCAAAAATGGAACCCGCCCAAAGACGGAACCGCAAGAAGTGCATTGGGTTCATGAGGTGGAAACCCCAACCCGCCGCGATTTCGGCCAGGACCCCCAAACTTCTCCAGCCCCGCGGCTTCCCACCAGCCCACCAGCCGTTGGTCCACTCGGCCCGGGCCTCGCCGCGGGCAAACTTGTCCTTGTGCTCGTTGTAGGCCTGGGAAGTGTGGGGAAAATGCCAAGTAGCCCAGGTGCAGCAACCCGAACGGCAAGCCCAACCCTTCCCTTCAACCTGGCGCGGGGTTTCATGCCCATCGCCTTGAGCTGTTGGGGGAAACAATCGTCATCGCCTTATTGTGTGATGTCGCGAGTTGTAATCATCCCTCTAACAAGTCGCAGCGCCTGCGCTCCGTGCCTACAAACTCTTGACACCTGCCCTACTTCCTGATGGCGGGATGAGGCGCCCATGCTGACAAACCAGCTAGTGGATGAACCTGCTGTCGAGTCGCAGGACCCAATGGCGAGGCTGGCCATGCGGGTTGGTGCTTCTGTTTCTGGTTTTTAATGACCCGAGCCATCGTGAAACTGATCACCGAACGTTCTGGCCCATGAAAGTGACATCCTTACAATGGTGGTGGGGGAAACCCTCCCCCAAAACTACCTTGCTCAAGCCATCAAAATGTGCACTTGAAGGGCAAATTGACTGAAGCCTAAGGTTGCTGTTGGGAGGTGCTTACAAGCCATGAGGCACACCATCGCTAGCCCCGCAACAAATTTGGGTCGTTTGGAGATGACCGCCGTTGGTTTCCCAATTGTGGCAAGGGATTCAAGCCACCAATCCAAACCACCGATTGATTCATTGGAAACAGCACAGAAAGCAGACTAGCTTCATTTGAAGCAACCACACAACGACAGGTACCTGATGTTGAACCCTACGTTGGTGGTGTAACATCCCTGAAGGATGTCCTCAAGAATTCTTGTCAATGTACTTATGATGTACTTGTGGCTCACCGCTTGCAATTTCCTGATATCACTTTATCGGTGTGGCTGTTTTCTGAAAGTACTACTTTTTGGACAATAGACAAGAAACAGACAACCGACTTTGCCCCTCTCACCGCCCCTTTGGGGACTAGAACAAACCTGCAATGAACATACACATGCTGGATTTGTGAGTTTGGAGTCTTTGGTGGTCATACACGAAACATGTTGTTGCTTTTCTCATTGCAAATTCGACATCTACCGGCGCTAATCGGCCCCCGGAAAGCCCCTGCGTCCTGATGCCTGGGTCGCCGCGCCCACTCCACAGGAACCGCCTTGTTGTTTTGGAGCTCCAGCATGACTCGCTTCCTGTGGCCTAAAGGCAACGAGCATCAGGGATCATTCCCCCTAAAAGAATTCCTCAATCCATGCCAACCTTTGGGGAAGCAAAGTCGACCTGCAAAATTGCGGGCTCCAAAAGGAGTGAAGGTACCTGCTCGAGCGATCGAGGCCCACTCTTCGGTGGGACCGTCAAAGAACAACGTAAACCCAAATGAGACTCTTTTCCCTCCAACGTTTCATGGGGCCCCGCCAAGGGCTGATACATTGTGATAGCCCGAAGGTGGCCGTCAGAAACGCAAAAATCCAATGATGCTCTGCTCTTGCTCTTTACGGTGTTGCCTCCCAGGAACCGCACAAAAAGCATGCTTTGGGGTTTTCGTTCGCCAACCCCAACTCTTCTTCTGGCTTTTCCTTTTTGCTGTCCACTGGTCCAACTTCAGAGCTCCACAGGGCTTGGGCCGACGATGATGCGCCCAAAGTCGATGGACCTTGGGAGTCGTTGCACCCCAGATCAACATGGGTGTGTCTCAACATAGGGGACCCCTTACCTGAAAAGGCCCCAATTTTGAGACACACCTACGTGGCTGTGTGTTTTTCGAGGCTCAACCTTTTAAAGTAGCCGAAGCCATTTGGTGGGCCCTATTTTGACACATGTCACGTTCCCACATAGAAAGCACGCCCACCCTCTCCTTAGAGGAACCTCGTTTGTGGTTGCACATCTATTTGATTCTGCTTGCCAGGGAATATGTCTAAGTCACGGATTTTATCTGCTCTCGCCCGTTTTGTTTGGGTCGCAGATTGGCACAAGTTTGGACCCATGAAAGAAAGAAGACACATGCCGTGGGTCAAAAATAGGGTAACCCCAAAATGGCTTGCCCTGCTAAATGGAAACAATGACCAAAACCTGCGGTCCATATCCTGGGGGTTTCATTTTGACCCATCTGCATGTGGTCACACCTCGGCTTTGCGAAAGGCGCTCAAGAAAAAGGCGCGTCAGATCTCCAAGCGGGCGCCTGGCTAAGCCCGGCTCACGCGGGTGCGCCGGGCGAAAGTGGGAGAATTGAAGCCCGTGAGTCTCGCATATCTGTCGGAATCACTCTGCTTATACAGTATGCATGCTTGTTCCTGGATGTTTCTTCAATTCATTCAGTTTGGATGGTTTGTTGCAGCCACCAGCAAAGCCAAAGCGAGGATCGCAATACAGCTGCCTGCAATTATGTCCAAATCAACGGGGGTGTTGCGCGCTGTCATTGTTGTTTGCTTCAACTCTACAAATGAGTCAGCCCCATTGGCATACCCAGAATACACCCTGCACACTCTGAATTGATTGAGCATGCAAGTGTGGCCCTTAGCTTGATTCCATACATGTTGCAAGGGAACAAGCAAAACCCTGCAAGTCGTTTCACACTTTGTGGTTGGCTTACCCCTGCAGCGTTTCGGACATCAGCCAATAAGCCATGTCTTTCACAAGGATGAATACAGCGACAACCTTTCAAGAAAGAAAGGTTCGCCAAAATCAACCTTGCAAACCATCCCAAAGCATGAACGAATCATCCAGGCTATGTGCCGGGGTTGCTAAAAAAAGGAAAAGCAAGGGCCTTTTATTGGTCAGCTTAACGCTCGGAGCAACCTTCCGGGCGCTCCAGGCCATTTCGAACATTCCCCAAGTTGGGAGCTCTCCATCCTGTGATTCGCAAAGTGGGGGGGTTCTCAAGCGATATTTTGATGTTTTTATTTGGGGGGCGGTTGGCTTCCCTTTTGAACCAACCCAAAAACTCACTTCCTGAGTGGATTGGCCAAACACAAATCTGTGTTTTGTTGTTTGTTTGTTTGTTTACCAAAAAATATGTCCCACCAAAATGATCTTCCCAAAAAGTTTTAAAAAACAAGTCCAGGAACTCAAGAAGTGAGAAAAGGACCCCCCCGATTTCTTCTTCAGCTGAGCTCTTCGGCTCGGTGGAGAGCACCAAGTCCGGCAGCACGAAGTCTGCCACCAGCTGCACTTTGTAGTTGGGCCCGCCCCTGGCGGTGGAAATTCTGCCGGGCCGAAACCGGGCGGTCCGTTTTCGGATCCCCTGCTAAAAGCGAGTTTCACTTTTAGTGGGTTAAATATGGAAAACCCCCCACTACACCAACAAAAAAGCTAGAAAGCAAAGAAACCGGATGCCTGGTTCCCCTTGCCTTCCGAGGAAACCAAGAGGTGTCCTTTTTCTGGGACCTTTCCAGATTTCAGGCACTGTCGATCAGGCGTCCTTTGATTTCCCTTTTTTCAGGACCCAAAATCGGCAGCTCCTAGCCACAAGGCCCCCTTCAGGCACGGCACCGGGCTCGCCATGAACCCCCGCCTCACCGGGAGGTTCCACTCCAGCTCCATAGTGCCTGGTTCGATCGGGGCACGGAGTCCCTCCGTCCCAGCCTCTCGGCAATTGGAATTTGCGCCTTTTGTGGGGGCCTTGAAGGAAAACCACGAGTTGATACGCAAACGGATCCTGAAAGATTCTGAGAGGCACAGTGGAGATAGTGCAAGCGGCTGGATGTGAATCATGACAAATCCCCAGAAAGAAGCGCTCACGGGTGAGATCAAACGCAAACCCCGAGTCGGTCGCCATTTGCCTTGCGTTCCTTGGACCGCCCTCGTCTCAAGAGGACGCAGGGTTGGAAGAATGGCCGGGCCGTCACACCGGCTCCAGTCTGCCTTGGATCTTAGATTCTCCTGGGGTGCTTGGATCAACGGAAACCAATTTGGTACGGGGCAAACATTACAAAATGGCAAACGCAAGGATCCTCACACAAAACAGCGGGTCTTACAGCTTCAGGGACTCCGTCAGAATGTGGCCGACGGAGATCAACTGTTGTCGGAAGGCCAGATGTCAGTTTGAGTGTTGCTGCTTGTGAGAAGATGGAAAGCACCTGCCTCGCCCTCCCAGACCCACGGTCCCCCCGCAAAAGCGAAGACACGAGCCTTCCGCTTCATCCCTCGCGCGGCTTGCGGAGACCTAGAGGGAACAAGACGCTTGGCCCGCAAAAACTGGGGCGGGACACGTCATCACATGAGCCCTGGGCCGCTTCTTCCTAGGCCACCTCAGCTCAGAATCAGGCAGCCAAACCTAGGGTTTAAATGGGGATGCGTCCAAACTCGGGACCCTTTGCAGGGTGTGAAAGGGAAGCCAAAAGCAAAGGGTCCAACGTAATTCCCCAAGGCAGTTCCCCTAAAACGCTCTGGAAATCTGTTGAGGCGGGATGCAAAATCCAAAGCTTGATATGAAGGTCCCCCCATAAAGTTGCCCGAAGATGCTCACTAAAAGTGGCTTCAGTTTTTCAGTGGTGGACCAACCCGCACATTGCTTTCAATTCACTGCGCAGTCCGTTTACAGATCCCCTTTTACAAGTGAATAACTTGTCTTGGGTTAATGGAACTAAGCCAACTAAAAAGCTAAAAAGCTAAGGCATCGGATGGAGGGAGCTACCAAGTTTCCTGGAGACTTCCGCACGACCTTGCCATGAAACCCGACACATTTCCGGCCATTGGGTCGGGGCTTCGTGCCTGTTCGCCCCGAGCCTTTTTGCCTCCAACTTCCATGGCAATCCCCGCCTGCAGCAGGAAATTCTTCCCCGGCGCCAGGGGTTTGATGGAGTCCGGCTCAGCCTGTGACGTGGTTGTTGCACCCTTCAGCCACGAGCAATCCACCAGCTGGAAAGTGGAAACGAGTTCTTCCTCCGGATCTCCGCGTTCGATGGTTTCAAAACCTGAAATACGATGACCTTAACACCTGACAGAGTTCAACCCCTCAGCATCACGGCCAATACCCGGCGCATCTGCTTTTAGACGCCGTACACCCGGTATTCCTACCCATGATGTGCCCACTTGCTTCACTTCACATCAGTCGACAAGCAAAATGGAAGTTACATTTGGTGTGCGTGTGTGTTGAGGGTGCCCGTTTCAGGTTGTGTGCAACCTACATACAAACTGTGGATGGACGATACCAACCCCAAGCGGTGAAAAAACCATGGCTGCAAAGTGGTGCGAAAGGACTTCGTAACCATCCACAGTATTTTTGGCAGGTCCCCCTAGTTTGACACATACCCATTTGCAAAACAAGACTTCCATTTGCTTGAGCCCCCCCGGAAAAAAATGAAAATATTTCCAGTAGTGATAGATTCCCTCTGAAACCCAACAGGTGAAAACAAAACATATTCTTAAGCAAATGGATGAAGAACATCTGCGCCACATCTCGCTGACTCTTAGCCGCACCTGAAAGCCGTTGTCCTTGAGGAGCTTCTTGTCCAGGTACAAGGCCACCTGCGGTAGCGGGTGTGACTTGTTTTGGGGGGGACCCCAAAAATGGTGGCCCATGAGAAGACTGCAAGCCTCAAAGCCACACAAAAAGCGCACTACCAGGTTCCCCTGTTCTGAAATGGTGGCTATCCATGTGGCTTCCCTTTGCAATCACAACAAAAAGGGGTGATTACCCTCAAAAAACGAGAACTTAGCCAATGCCCTTTCTCCAACAATGGAAGTGAGCAGGCCGGCTCCCAAAAAGAAAGTAGTCTTCCAAACTCCTCCGATCGTCCGCGTCCATGATTGCTGAGAGGGACCCGCGCCAAACCTCCAAACCAACTGCGGGTTTCCCGTGCGATTTGGGCAACCGCCACTCAGTTGCTCAGTGACCCTCAAAAACAAAAATCAGCAAAACAAAGGGGAACAAGGGTGCCACTGAACAACGGAGGCAATGTTGCTCCTCTCAAAGGAGTTGCTGGTTTACTCAGCAGCACCTGGTCGCATTGTCATTTGCGCGATCGGCAACCGGGAAGCAACAAACCATACTAGCGGTTCCCCTGGCTAGGGAGGCAGCGGTCAACTGTTGTCCTTTACGGGCTTGACACAACATGCCCTCCTTTGTTCTCAAAGGGGGGCTCCATTTGACAGAGTTGGAAAGAAGCCATACTGCTCCTGCCCTGACCAGGCAGGCACGTGAGCTGTCAACTGTAGATGGATTCAGAATGTTTCTTGTCGACCGGCAGCGGAGGTGTTTGAAGCCGGCCAGCAAATATCACGTCCAGTGCACGTGTTGAATGCATAGACCTTCCAAGGCTGGCTTTGCGTTGGGCTGCCTTTGAAATCAATTCCAAATAGACTCTTATATGTTAAACATATTCCAAGTGCCAACAAGGCTCCGACATGGCTTTTGCTTGCGGACACCGTCCACCGAGACTCATGCCCAATAAACCGCTTCATAGGTAGCATTTCAGTCTCACGTAACGAAAGGCGTATATTCTAAGCTGGTTTCATGTCGGTGTGTCGTTTTTGGGCAACCCCCCCCAAACGTGGTTGTTGTCCTTCTGGTTTCCCTTCAAACCAACAGAAAAGGGGTATATACCCTCAAAAAAAACTGACCTATGTCTTTCCTTGAGTCACCTAGCCCCAAACAAACTGCGCGAAAGGTCTCGTTCTTTGAACTGGCAAGGCTGATCCTAGGAACCCCGACTGGCTCAGAGCAGCAGTTGTGGATGTTGATCTTTCGAGTGCCTCAGAGATGATGCAAACAAAAGCCACTTGCAAAGACAGGTGCAAATCACAGAGCAACGCATCAAATCGCCTTCATCAAAACTCGCGCAACTGTGCCAAGATCTAGTTCCGCAAGAGATTGTCAACCGAAAACGGATAGGATGACACTGAGGGATATTGTGTGGACGCCTTCCCGTCTTGGAGATCTTCTGATGGATCAGTCTCGTGCGGAGGCTCAAAAAATATCAGAGGGCTACACAGCCAGTCACCGCTCGCGGGATATGTAGCGATTTGAGATACAATCAGATGCAATCACACAAAACAACATGTCTCTATGAGAAATGTTGCCGTGCAATCGATTACATGTGCAATTGATTCTTCTGAGCCATGGTGAAGGAAACTTTGATTGGAACCCGTATAAAAGATAACTAAAACCACATTCAAAATCTGACCATCTGTACAACAGGCAGGGGCTGTTGATCCTATGGGTTACAGTAGTCCCCACATGGGCTACTCGTTGACCGTCAAAACCACCCCCTAGAACGGGTGGGCACCAAAGACACACCCAAAGCTGACCATCAACCCTACTCCTCGGAGCGCGGGAAAGGATTACATTCTCACCCAACTCACCGTCCTGATGGTCAATTGGTGGCCGGGAAGAATGAGCGCCATGCCCCAGAGGGTCCTAAGTACCACATAGTTAAGGCTTTGGCTGTGATTCAAGGGGATTCGTCAAGTACTGATTCCTCAAATCCGTAAATATGAGGTACTTGAACCATCTGGGTGCGCGACCCTGTTTTCAGTTTGGAGAAATGGACTGTGCCAAGATCGGGCCAGCGGCTGATCTGGCCCAGCGCGATGTGCCCGAAGTCGCAGATGTAATGCCTGGGCCGGAACCGGTAAGGTCAACATTAGAATCATCTGGACGACCCAGATTTATCCAAAGTCAACATACTGTGGATGGACGAAATCCTGCACCACTTTGAACCCATGGAAACCATGGTTTGTTGGTGCTTACAGGAGAATCATCATTCCAGGGTGTCTTAGCTAGTGCAGGATTGCGTCCATCCAGAGTATGGGGCACTCTACGTGAAGCGACATGCCAAACGGTTGAAAGACCGAAATCGACATTATGAGTGTTTCATGTGCTGCTCACACTACACAATGATGCATTCAAGCCATCCAAAGACAACAGCTTGACACGATCGCTGATAAATAGGCTAGTGTGGTGACATCATATGGCCCGACAAGAGGCTCAGTACTGCTGTATGCGCTTCCTTCTTTCCACCAAAGAGCAGGCCCCCCTGATGTGCTGCCCCTGAACCTACTTCCCCTATGGTTTGGAACCAGGGGTGCTCCAACGACCTGATCGGGACAAGGGGAGTAGATTAATCCGTGGACAAGGGACACCGAAGGAAAGCAAACTAATTCTAACCACGCTTGGGGTTGATCATCTTTTGCCCTGCAAGTGAAGACTTTCATGTATCACAGTGGAAAGGCCATTCCCAGCGCCCTGGTTTCTGCGTGTTTTCCCTGAAAACCGGCGGCTCTTGCCATGCTACCCGTTGGTTCCACAAAGGTGGAATGGCGTTGGGGGTGCAGCCGGCTGACAGGTTCAAGGGGCCCGGTAGGCGTTGAATTAAATGGAACAATCGCCAAAGGAAGGTCGGGCAAGGAATCTTCATCATGTCGCCATTAAATTGTCCGAAAGGGATCTGCCTTTTGGAAAAATAGACGTCCACGGAATACAACCACTGGCACCTCTGTCCAACCCAACTACCCTAAAAAGGACACCTGCAGTGTGGATGAACGAGATCCTGCACCACTTGGGGATGAAGCCCTATACACGATGGGATAAACCACCTACTAACTGGTGCGAGGTGCATTTTGCCCATCCACAGTATACGGGTTTGTCTTTTATTGATGGTACCCGTCTTGGGGAATCCGAAAGAACACCCCTCAGTTTTGGGGATGCCCCATGACAAAGACACACTCCAATATCTAGGGGTTGATTCCCCATTGTGTTCAACCATCGTTCTTTTCAAAACCAGCCGTTTCACCCTGGGATTCTTGAGGTTTTCTAGAAAGAAGGATCCCTGCAAAGAACGGAAATGGAAGGTACCCTGGAATATAGTTACTACAACCATCGTGTTGTTTTAAAGGGAACCCAGAAGGAAAACCAACCATTTTGGGGGGGATGCCCCACTTTAAAACACACCCCCTTGTGGTTACTACAATTCCCAAAGTATGGAGCCTGGTGCAAAAAGCCTGGCGCCTAAGGAGGGTACCGGAAAACCCCCCCCACACCGGGAAAAATCCGCCAGGCCCTGCAGTCAGCTCCGGGCGCTGCAGTCACCGGCGCCGCCTCGATGCCGGCGCCGCGGCGCCTCGATGCCGAATGTCGACGAAAACAATCGGGCTGAGAAATGCCCCTCCCTCTCAAGGAGTATCTACAAAAAAAAATCAAGATGACCATTTGTTGGGGGGGGCCCCAAAAAAAAGACCACACCTATGCGGCATGGACTGGGGCTCTACACCAATCTTTGGGTTGGATTACCCTCCCTCCCACCAGTCTAAGGGTTGATTCCGCATTCTATTCACTCGTTCTCTTTAGAAACCCATACAACAATTGGCCTAATCTTTGAAGAGAAGGATCCCAGAAGAGAATGAGAAGGGTGTGGCTAGAACTAACCGGTAACATGGCAGCTGACAGGAGCTGACAGGAGCCCGGTCCCTTCAGAAGGAACTTCATCTTCCAGGTAGCTTTCTCACAGGTGCTACGCTGGCGGGAGGAAGGCTAGTTGGAGTTTAGTTTTACAAGCGAGTTTACGGCCATGCAAGGAGTGAAAGCGTGGGGACCCTATCCCTACAAGCGCGTTCCGTATGAGGGTTGTTCGAAAAGCAAGGGTCTCAATTTGGGAGCCATCATACAAGCAAGGTATATGTCACCGGGTCTTCCAAGAAACTACCAGGTATGTTTCACCCCGGTGAAGGTACAAGTTTTCTGGGCCATTTTGAGATTGCAATGAACGTCAACTCAATGACTGGTCAAAGGGAACCCGGCTCAAGTGTGCTTTTGGAGCCCAGGTTCGGGTCCGTTAATTGCAGCTTCCGTCGAAGTGGTTTCTGAATGCATTGTAGGGTTGCCATTCAGGATTGTTGGAAGCGAAACCAAACAAGGGAAACCGCCATTGTTCTGGGTCACCCCAATTTTCGCTAAGAAATCGGTGCTTTGTTGGGTCGAGGTCCTCAAAATGACTTTTGCGGGTGGAAAGAGGGGGGGAACCACCATGCATGACCCAGCTTTGCTGACAACAGCAGCAGCAACAGAGACAAGGGTCGCACTGATGACAATCTTAGACCCAGAGAAAAGAGGAGTTGAACCCTCTGATTTGTGATTTGGCTGTGGCTCAAAAGAAAACGGTACCAAAATGGCTTGCCCTGGCAAGTGGAAACATGGCCCAAAACCTGCGGTTTGCCCCTCCGATCGTTTCATTTTGAGCCACACCCATTTGGGTGTGTGTCAAACCTAGCGGGACCTGCCAAAATACTGTGGATGGTTGCGAAGTCCTTTTGCACCACTTTGCAGCCATGGTGTTTTCACCCATGGGTTGTATTTTTTTGGCCGGAATCAATTTACCTGCGTAACCCCTCCTGTTTAATTTTGGGCCCAAAATAGGTACCCCAAATGGAACCCTGGTAAATGGAAACAAGGACTAAAATCTGCGATCCCCTGATTTTTCATTTTGAGCCACACCCATTGCGCTTGGCCGTCTCCCACCTGGCTGTTGGGCTGATGGTGGGCCGATGCTGCCTCGAGGCCGCTTCGGATCGTTCCGGCTCACCTGCTGAGTTTACTGGGCAGAAACAGTAGCAGCTAGTAGCACTTGTTGGGCCTTGAATCAATGAAGAAATCTGCCAACAGAAAGCCTCTAAGGTGGCCACGTCAGGGAAGCTACAAGTGAAGGCTTCTATCTAACCAGAAAGGGGACCACGCTGTGTGAAGTATCACCAACAGGAAGCTCACAAATTAAATTGGCAACAGCTACAAGATGGTTTTTCCACCCACCTAAAAGCTTGGGAACAAAAAGGGCCCGGAAATATGGAGTCGCGGCCAGTACTACGTCCCCTTCAAGCAAGGGGTTGAAACTGGCTCGCAAACAATAATCTGGCGGGGACATATTGCAGTGGGGTTCAATCGCTGTGCAACCTTTGGCATTTCGGCATAGCCCACTTCACATCAAGTGCAGACGGCGCCTTTTGACTGGTCTGCAAGAGGAAAGGGAATACGGGTGTGTCTTTTTCGGCGGACCACCAAAAATGGTGGTTTCCTTTTTGGTTCCGTTGAACACCTGCAGAAAATGGGATCCCCCCCAAAAAAAACGGTGCATATATAGGGATTGTCCTCTAAAGTGAAGGGCAGGAGATAAGGATGAGCTCCAGGGTCGGCATGGTCTATCTGGAGCCGAGCTTCACTAACATCTTTCGTGCCTCGCCTTTTGACTGGTCCAAAAGGGAAAGGGAGAGATCCAAGAGGTACTTCCATATTAGTGGTAGGCACAATGCCCCCCTTGGTCAACAAAACGGTGTACTGCTGCTACAATAACCATGGGGTCGTAGGGTACTATTTCCCTTGGTGGATGGTTGCCCAACCAACCAAGCAACCAACCAACCAAACAACCGGGGGTTAAGCCCCGAGCGGGGGCCTAGAGACAAAAAGAAAAAATGGGTCCTTTGTGGATGATCCTAAAGTGGATCGATGGGTTTAATGGAAAAGAAAGATCCTTACATTATACACCTAAACATTGCCTTGTAAATGGTGGTGTCCTTTTAGTTTGGTGGAATAAGCCATGTTTCAAATGGGCCAAATGTATCTTTTAAGGAGCCCTGGAAAAGACTCATGTTTGTACTCTTTATTTGCCGCTTGTTGGTGAGAGGCTGGCTCTTGAGACTGGCGCTCACCAGCAAACGCCCGGGGCCCGCGCGAGGGGTTGCCGTGCTTCAGCAGGGCCTACGTGTGCGTGCCGCTCTGCGAGCCTTTTCGTTGAATCCTCTTTCAGGGTTTCTCGAAAGCAAACTATTGCACATCCCCCCTACCTTAAGGGGGAGGGGGGTGGGGGGTCCCCCAATTCCATTTATTTACTCTTCCCCACAACCCCAATTTCATTTTGAAGGGGGTTGGGATTATTGCACTCCCCCGCAACTCAGTGTGGAAACTCCCGGATGGAGAAAAATAAATGCTCATTGATTTATGTCCGTCTCTTTCGGAGGATCCCCTCCACCCACCCACCCTTTTGGATGGCGTGACTACCCGTGTGATACCAAACAGAAAGTGGCCCCACCCAATTTCCCGCAAAAGTGCCAAGGGCACTTTTAACTCATTCGGGGGCTCTCGAAGCTTCTCGAAAGCGAAGTTCGTCAAACCATGCTCAGAGCCACGACGTACACTGCCCCGAGTCCCTCTTCGCCCACGAATCACTGGGAGCCACCTGTAACCTAACAATCGATTTTAGGAACTGCTGGCTTGGATTGGAAGGGAAACCAGAAGGAGGCGCACCTCCTAGCGGGTTCTCCAAGTTACAAAAAACACTTGGGGCTTCAGAACGCCATGTTGCCCTGAAGCCTCACCGCAGGAGCCCAACCTGAGGGCTGGATCTCGAGGCACAACGTGCAATTGGAGGGCGGGCCCCGAAACCGACATACGGATGACGCAGTGCTCAATGTATTGGCGAACCAACCAACTGATTCTAAGATTGGTACCTTCATGAGACCAGCCAACTGACCAACCAACCAACCCAGCAACCCGAAACGACCCAACCAACACGACCAGCACAACGCAGCCAACCCAACCAACCATGCGCATTTTGGTGGACCTTTCAAGGGTCGGCGAAAACCAGCACCCAGGCGCTGGTTTGCAATGCCCACTTACACCTGGCAGCTTCTGCGTTGCGAGGAAGAAGCCCTGCATTCAAGTCACGGAGGGTGGAGAGTGCAACTACTCCCCTGGAGTCCGCAGTTGGATCACCTCCCAAAACATTGCTCCAAAGACGTCAGGCCGAAGGAGCACCCGAATGTCAGTTTTCCATCTTTGTGCTTTTGGTCGGTAGCTTTTTACGGTTTGGAGCAGCCCCCCGGCACATGGATCTTCGCGTGTCCCGCGTAAATGGCCTCGCACAGCGCATGGCGATCCACCTCGAACTCCAAGTCGAAGTCCGGCGCGTCGCCCTGACGTCAAGAGCTGCGCTGGTGGGGTTAGCCCTATTTTTGAGCACACCCCATGTGTCTCTTTGTTGGCACCCGCTCTATGGAGTTCATCGCTGGTGCCTAAACCACCCCTTAGGCCCTTGGGGGGTGGGGGGGAAAAACCAGACATATCGTGGATGCGAACTCCGTCAAACGCACCACCTGAGAAGCCTGGAATGGTTCGATTCCCCCTGTAAACACCAACCAACAATGGCTTCTGGTGCAGGAGTTCGTCCATCCAGTAGTTCCCCGAACGAGGGTAAGGGGTCTCATTTGGAGGACACTCCACCAGAGAAGAGATGGAAAACGGCTAGCAGCTCATGGCATGTCTGGTGGGGGAATACCTCTATCAGGGAAGCCGACGATTGGAGGGCTTTGGACGACTACTTTCCTTTTGGGGACCCTAGCTGTCCACATCCACGATTGTTGGAAAGAGAGTAGGGAATCTTCTCAAGGGGGAAACCGCAATCAAGGAGTCGTTACTGCTTGAAAATACAGTTTCCAGGGTTCAGCCAGGACTTGGGCTCCAAACACACAAGCTGAAGTTGACATTCAATGGCAAAAGGTCTGGCATGTACGTCGCCAACGAAGTGGAAAGAGTCGAGGAAGGTGGAGCCCATGCGTTTGGCCTTGAGAAGGAAACACACAAACAAAACCAAAACATGTTTGGTGTGGCTGGGGTTCCGCGGGTTCTAGCTCTTAGTTTCAATATACCAAGATGCCATTGTGGGAATATGCTACCCACAGCCACTTCTGATTTTCCCCAATCTTCTAGGTTCAGTATGTTTGCCACCCAAACGTTGCACACCATACAAGGTGAAACCATGTAAGATGCGTCAACTAAAAACGAAGCATGAGAGGAATACAGCGGGAATACAGTGGAGTGCCGGTCAGGAACAAGTTGGACACCATGCGATTTACCGCCACTTTGCAGGTGTTGCCCCAACCGCAACAACTAAGAGCAACACAGATCAAAAGGTCCAACCATGCGGATTTGTCGATGCCGGATTCATCAATCTGGCGGGTTTATTGGGACCTGATGGGTCCCACCATTTAGAGACTGCAACCAGGTCCTCCAGTAGAGAGGTTAGAACAAGGGTACCCCTTTTTCTGCAGGCTTTTTTAGCAGGGGAACCCTAAAGGGTAAAAGGGCACTACTGGGGGACCTAGGCAACAACCCAGGAAAACACTGTTTGTGCACGTGAGCGATTGAAAAGAATGGGTTGCAACCCCCGGGTTTCTCTCCGCACACATCATTTTCCCGAGCTCGGCTAGTCTGGACTTTCGGTGTACTGTCATCCTGAAGTCAAGTCCAAAACCCGGAAAAGTTGCTTTACAGAGTAACATGGAACCCAAAAAAAACATTTGTAGAGGAGACTCGTTTTGGGAGTTGGGAATTCCCCGCCTTGCAAGTTTCATGCCAATTTCTGAGGTCAGTACCCGCTGTCTTTCCCACCCCTGCTCTTTCGCAGATCGGGGCTCCGGCACCCACCGTTGCGGTCTCCTCGACCACCTGGGTGCTCGCGAGAGAACGCGAGATGTGGGGCAAAAAAGTAGAAGGGGGGGTCGGCCAACCTGGCAGATATGGACACCTCCCTTAACCCAGAGGGTCCTAAGTACCACAAAGCACTTTTTGAGATGCCTTCCCGGAATCGGCGAGCTGCTCCGGAGTTCCCTAGAATTATAAACCCTTCAGCATGGAAATGCACAGGAAGCCTCCCAAAAGGCATACCCTGGTTGGACAACCGTGTGGAGAAAACACCCAGCAGACCCAGACAGGAGTCATGACAACGGGTACAGCTCTCGCTGCAGAGAAATTGTTGGGATATCAAACTAGCCCCAGGTTGATGCTAAGGTGGCCAAATGTGGGCAAGCGCAAAAAGGCTCCGGATAAGGCACGCGGCACGCTGCGTCATGCTATGGGAGAAACCAACAAATTTTGCCTGGTGCCGCGCGAATCCTCACTAGATCTGCAGCAGTAGGCGATAGCATATTGTAGCATGGCTGCCAAACTGGAAAAATACCTCACAGTGGGTGAGCTGATTGGAATGACCAGCGCTTCGCATGTATGCAAGCAACAGGTGTTGAGCTTTGTCAGGGTGAGGCTATTCAGCTCCTGCACGTTTTGTCCAAGCATTTTTGCAGGCTGACTTCACGGAATGGGGCGCTCCCTTATCTCTGCGAAAGAACCGGCCACCGGGCAGGGAGAAATCCAGACAGGTTTCGGCCTACCTTGAACATCAGATGGGCTGGGTTCCCTCCACCCCCCAAAAGGTGTCATGCCGATCTTGCTGTGGGTTTGTCCAAAGGTAGAAAGGAGACCCTGCAGGTGGCTGGTTTGCCCTTAATGCCTTCACCGATTGATCAAAGGGTACCAAAGTCTGAACACAGACGTCTGATGATTGTTGTGCCCCATATTTCCCGCGGTTGGGCAGACCACCCCAAGCCTGCACTTGACCCGCCCGACCACCTGACCACCTGACCCGACCTGACCCCATGCCCCACACAATGCGCGTATTCGATGGCCTCGACCTCCGCCACCACGCTGCGCCGCGGGGTCGTGGACAGCTCCTGGATTCCAATGTCGCGTTGTGGTAACAAGAACTGCGGGTGTTTGGCAGGTGCTTGCCAAGAAAACTAGGTCCTCCAATAGAGGGGTTAGAATAAGGGTACCAACTTTTTTCTGTAGTCTACTTTTGTAGGGGAACCCTCCCCCCAAAGAAGGGGCAAAAGGGCACTACTGGGGGACCTAGAAAACGTGTAGGGAAAACCAAGGGACCCCAAAACTGGGGACCTCGTAAAATCAGCAGATGAAGATTGGCGACATTGGACATCTCTGCCAACCCCCCCCCCCCCGGGCCGCTGATCGGTACAGTGGGAAGAACAAGCAGGGAAACGCAAAGCAACTTCTTGGCCAAGAGGTCGCGGCGATGATCCGAGGGGGTTCAACATGATCGAAACTCAAGCGGAATAAGTACACAAAAAACAACAATCATAATGATAACGATAATAATGATAATAATAATAGCAATGATAATAATAATAATTATAATAATAATTATAATAATAATAATAATAATAATAATAATAATAATAATAATAATAATAATAATAATAATAATAATTAATAATAATAATAATAATAAATAATAATAATAATAATAATAATAATAATAATAATAATAATAATTTAATAATAATAATAATAATAATAATAATAATAATAATAATTAATAATAATAATAATAATAATAAATAATAATAATAATAATAATAATAACAATAACAATAATGATTATGACAATAATAACAAGGATACTAAGAATAATAATAATAATAATAATATACGTGTATGTATTCTACATACCTACAGTCACTAAACACCGAAAAAGCAGTGGTCCCCCCCCGCAAAAATAATAATAAAGGGGGTTGTACGGAAACACCTGGTTTTGTATAATTGTTTTGTTTTTTTGTTTTCGTGCGGGTGTTTACGAATTTGTGTACGGAAAGTGTTGGCTACTGAAATGGTTTTACGGTATGTTTGCTTGTTTTCGTGTGTTTGCTTGTGTTGTTCTTTATTTGTTTGTTTGCTGGTTTGTTTGCTTGCTTGGTTGTTTGTTTGTTTGCTTGCTTGCCTTGCTTGCTTGCTTGCTTGCTCGCTTGGTTGCTTGGTTGCTCGTTCGCTTGCTTCTTTGCTTTTTTGCTTGTTCGCTTGTTTGCGTGCTTGTGTCTTGGTGTGTTGGTGTGGTAGTTTGTTTGTTTGCGTGTTTCTTTTTGTTCTTTTTGTTCTTTCTTTCTTTCTTTCTTTCTTTCTTTCTTTCTTTCTTTCTTTCTTTCTTTCTTTGTTTTTCTTCTTTTCTTTTCTTTTCTTGTATTTTCTTTCTTTCTTTCTTTCTTCTGTATTTGTGCGTCTGCGTGCGTGCGCACGTGTGCGCGCGTGTGCGCCTGTGATCGTGTGACTCGGGATGGGGAATTGGCCAGTGGGTCGCTGTTTGTGACACACCAGCGCTACGGGGAATCGTGGTGCAGGGGCGCCGATGTCGGGTACAAGAGTTTCACCGAGCGCACATTTTTCAGATATCAATAGCTGTTGGTCAACACACGTGTATATAAAAGCGTCACATCGGCACAAAGCAGCTAGATAACAAGTGCAACATGGCTATGCTATCCCAGGGGTGTGCAAAGTGTTCGCGTGTACGTTTGCCTCCACGGTTCCAGCTGCACGTCCTCTTTTGACGGCCACACTTTTGCAACTTTAGATACCACTAGTGAGCCATGAGACGCATACGGTATCTGATGACTGTGGCCTGACAGTGAGATGCACAAAATGGAGTATCGGATTCAGCAAACAGGCGACTAGATCCGCAAAGGCGCTTGGACTTTGGAAGTTGGCTGACTGCTCCTCTAACTGTTCCTTGAAACTGCTTTGTGTCCTGAAAGTGGGCTCCTGAAATTGCTTTGTGTCCTTTGAGTTTCCCTTTCAATATAAATCAAGAAAGGGGTGACCATTTTGACACACACAAATTTGGGTTGGTTCTGACGAGCCGTCGCTCTGGCAAACGGTCTGTTTTCGATTGCTCTCATTGACGCAAGTCTGCGCGACCCCGCCACTCGCGCGTTGCCTCGTCCGTGACTCCGCTGGCCGCTTTTGATCGGTTGGCACCTCGGCCCATACACTCTCAAGGGGCACAGGAGCTGTGGAACCTGTCGTCAACCAACGTTTGAGAACTTACCATCCCCAAATATCTCCAGACCGAGCCTTCTGAATGGATGGGCTCTTGTGAGTTCTCTTTGAAATCCCCCAGTTTTTGCATATCCTGTGAGGGGCCAATCTAGTGAGTTCCCTGCTGGAACCGCTGACCGAACTACCAATGCTTGCTACCAAAGAAACACCTCGCGGCTTCGCAACCTTTCTTCGACTCACATCTGCTTGCATCTCGCCAGCAGCTCAGCATACCTCAGTGGGGCGAAGCTGCTCAGCGCGAGTGATCTTTCCAACTCATACACAGGGAATAGGCAAGTTCCATCATCTTTTCTAGGTCTCCGTGCTGCTACATCTCACGCTTCAAAGCTGGCAAACTCCCGAGTTGCAGGCTGATACTGTGGATGGACGAAATCCATTTCGCGCCACTTTAAATCCATGGTTGAAACCATTGTGTGCTGGTATGTACCCTCCCACCAACTACAACATGGAAGTGCAAATAGGCCCTCTCCAAGAGGAAAGTAGTCTTTCTACAGGGGTCTGTGCACAAACCCATGTTAGCTGGAGGGAGGGTACAGGGACATCGAATCATTTCAGGGTTTCTGGGACATCGAATCATTCCAGGGTTTCTCAGGTGCGTTTGATTCGGAGTTCGCAACCATCTGCATAGCGCTGGAGACAGCTTGCTGAACTTCCGAAGGCTGAGCCAATCGTCCCCATGACAGCGGAGCTGAGCTGAGCTTTTTCGCCATTCCCGGGCTGAAGATGCGGAAGAAGGACCATTGAAGCCATATCATCCGGGAGAACCAAACACGAAATTACCAGGATTCGCCAAACAAGGAAGCTGTTGCCCAAAGGGCCTGGAACTAAAAACTAAAAGGCAAACCTCGGTTGTGTCGCTAAAATCTGCTCACATGTCATCTGCCACCTTCGAAGGAAGCCTTGTCTGGCGGTTTTACCATATGTTGCCCAAACCTGAAGAACATGCTTTTGCTAAGACGCTAAACGGTTCAAGCCGGGGCCTGCCGATCGCCGAGTGGATTGATCCTGCCCCAGACCAACGAGTTTCCTGCTGGTTAGATGCGGGGACCCAACGGCCGACCGACCGGTTCGCTCGGCGCCCAAGCTGCAACTTCTCGTAAGTCTGCACATCGCCCACCTGCGGTGGGCTGAGAAGGCTGAGCAAGAAAACCATTCGAACCCATGAATAGCCTGCTTGATTCATCTCGGCCATTTACTTTTCGAAGCACGGAAATCTCCAATGCGCAACTGTCCTTTGAGAATAGAAACCAAGAGTTTGACCTGAGATCGCCTGAGTCATGAGCTGTAGGGTCAAGGGCCACCACCCCAACCCTGACTTGATGACTCCTAGAAACGGAATCAAACTACTGGGAGCTGCTCCCCAAAATGCTTCAATGTTGAAGGTCGCAAGCCAATGAAAGCAGTGAGATGCTATCGTGAAGAAGGAGAAGAAAAGAAAAGAAGAAAAACAGAAGGCATGATAATGAAATTAACAATGAAAATGATGATGATGATGATGATGATGATGATGATGATGATGATGATGATGATGATGATGATGATGATGATGATGATGATGATGCCGATCATGCCGATCATGCCGATGATGCTGATGCTGATGCTGATATGACGATGATGGCAATGGCGATTATGAGGGGGTGTACTTGGCCCCCAACCCCCAACCCCCGAACCCTCCCAACACCTCCCGACCCCTCCCAACCTCTCCCAATCTCCCAACCCTCCCAACCCTCCCAACCCTCCAACCAACCCTCCCAACCCTCCCAAACCCTCCCAAACCCTGCCAAACCCTCCCAAACCCTCCCAACCCCTGACACCCTCCCTCCCACAACACCCCCCAACCCCCTCCCAACTCCCTCCCAACCCTCCCACTCCCCCAACCTCCCTCTCCCCTCTTTTACTCCACGGCGCCAGCTGGGCTCGAACCGCAGCGTGGATGCGACCGTTCCAGTTCTCCCCGCGGCCCGTCTCGTCCACGCCCCAGAAGCCCGCGCTGGGTGTGAAGGTCATCTCCTGGGGTGGGGACCCAATTGCCCGGCGACACCGCAAAAAAAAGGGAACCGCAACTTGTCCACGCGAAATGCTTTTTTTTTGCAAACCCATTTTTCCAGACTGGTTTCGTCTTAATCGGCGGGGGAGGACATCGATGGGGGTCCATTCGGGTGACCGCCAACTGGTTTGCGCTTCGTGATTGGGCGAGGGACACGCGTCCTGAACCTTGACATTTGACTGTCGTGCACAAGTGTTCTCACATTTAGGGAGATGGCTGCTTAAAGCAAAGAGAAACCGCCGCCAATTCAAAGGGTCACCCAGTTTCAGACAAACCCAAAGCTCAAGAGAAAGTCATGTTTGTATGAAATTCAGAAGTTCCAACATCCAAAAAAAGGCACCCGGTAACTTCAAAGAGACACCCGGGCGTCTCGCGTGAAGCACCTGGAAACACAGAGCAAACATGTTGTGTCGCGCAACATGGTAGTTCTCCTATAGGGCTCTTGAAAAACCAACCCCTCAAAACAAAACATGCTCCACTAGAAGAAGCACCAAACAAACAAGGATACAGAGCCTCAAAACACATGCCCTCAGAAACACGGGCTTTTCTCCAGCAGCCAGGTTTCGCCCTTCGTCTGCGCCAGCGCCGCGGCGAGGGAAGGGTTCTGCTGGTACTTCAGCTGGGCTGCCTGCTGAAGACGCATGGCTCCAAGCTGTTGGGAGATGTTGGTTTGACTCACCCAATGGCTGCCAGGCAAGCCTCTATATGGCTGTGGGTCAAAAATATGGTGACGCAGCAATGGAGCCCTGGAACCTGCGATTTGCTGGTGGTTTAATTTTGACCCGTACCCATATTCGGTATCAACCATGTTCCTCGAATCTACAGGGTGGTTTCCTTGCACCATGACCCATTGTTTGATCGTATTGCAGGGGAACCATCATTCCAGGGGTTATGTGGTGCGAAATGGATTCTGTCCATCGGCGGGAAGTAGTAGATAAGCCCTGCTGATTTTCTCAACAAAAACCAGAAAACGATGCCCGATTCTGGGAGTTCAGTTCTCTCAGCTTGAAGCCGCCTCCAGCATCACCTGGAGCTTCACGGTCTCCCAGTCAGGTCGCAAGGTCAGGCATCTGCCCAGGGAGTAGACCCGCTCGAAGCTGGCCTGCCGTGGTGCCGTGCACCTTTGAGATGCTTCGTTGGGCCAGTGGGTTCCTTGCTGACCAAAAAGGCTCACTAGTTACTGCCCTCATGTTCTGCTCATGGCGATACAAAGGGATTCAGTCCCCTTGAAGCGAGGAAACCTCCCAACCTCTGTTTGAGTAGAAACAAACAGTTTAGTGGTCGCGACCCCCTTGACCAGGTTTTGTCCGTGCTGAATCCGCAGTGGACATTGGCTTGAGCATGTCCCATTCTTAGGTGTTATATTTCAAGGAATTGATGGCAGTGGGAAATAGTCAAAACAGAACTGAAACTAGTGCCGTCTAGTTTCCTGTTTTCAAACTAACCCAAAACGACACCTGTGACTCCTGCTTGCTTTCCGTTTCAAGGGGTACTTTGGCTGTGAAGAAATCGCAAGGCAACCACCGACACCCAGTGACGGGTCAAAACCAAAAGGTGAAAACAAGATGGAACAGTGGTAGGACGATTTGTTTTGCGGAGCTCCGAACGCATTGGTTTAGTACGAGTTGGATTCGTTGGTTGATTTGCAAGTTTGGCCTTATGGGACAACTCACCTGGCAACAATTGAAAATCGGCAGAAGATTGATCAAGGCCATGTAAACTTGCACAATAGCCGCAGCAGCCATGACAAGGACGGGGAGAAGACAAAAAACAAGGCAACGCTCATTCAGGCAAAGCAAGGAAGGCAAACCCACAATTGTGAGCGCGTGCGGCAACAACCAAGCTCAACTTCAATCATCACGACTAGACTCAATATGTGCAAACTGCGTCTTTTGATCTGCGCCTGGAACGAGAATGTGTTTGAGGCAATCAAATAACCCCAAACGCCCCGCCCTCTTGGAAAGCGGAGTCACCTCTTTTCCCCAACTGCGTGTGTGTGTGTGTGTGTGTGTGCTTTTTTGAGGCCTTTCTGGTTGGTTTCAAGGGAAACTAAAGGTCACCAAAGGCCCAAATATGCCTCCATGTGCTCAAGTCCACTGGCAACAGGTAAAATAAACAAAAAATACGAACCACATGGAAATAAGAGCTTTCCCTTTTGACATACCGCATGTCGTATTTGGATCCCCAGAGTTTCGGCCTCGGCCACGCGGCGCCTCTGGGCGTCCTCCAAGGTCTTGTGCGCTTGAAAAAAGTGCTCTGCGGAGGGGTAGGCGACGCCGTCCTTCCTGCCCGAAACCCATCGAGGGAATCTGCTCAAAAACCGCCCACAGCTCTGGCTTTGAGCTGTTCGGCCAGAATTGGGAGTGGGCACTGCCGGAAACTTGCACCCACACAACATGTTGATTGTCCTTCTCTCACGTACACCCAACGAGTTTGCTTGTCCACCCTGCAGCCCTAAACCTAGGAGTGTGTCTGCTCTGTCTTACTTGTAGCAAAAGGCTTGAAGATATACACATTGAACCGACATAACTTGCAGGGAACGAGGGAATGACCCCTTTAAACCATCCCCAGTGGTGCCTTTAAGGGGATCACCTGTTCATTCCCTCATTCCCTGCCCATCGCACCAGCAACATAGAGACGTTGAGCGGACATTGAGCACATCCGGCAGTGACGCCAAGCTGCTCAATTCGGCAGGGGAAGAAGTTGGCGAACTCCTCCTGCTCCTTCCAAAAGCGAAACTGGTCGGTGGACCTATGCCTTACGCCAACACTTCAAATCCACATGTCCGCATGTCTGAGGCCTGACACTTGCACCACCCCTAAAACCCAAACACTTAAACTCCAAGAAACTTTCAAGGCAACGCCATCGCTCTGTGTCACACGTCAGCGCCATTCGCGCTAGTGAATTTCACACTCCGGGGCTGTGCTTCGCAGCTCCTCAAATGGCCGATTGCGGCGGGTCTCCCGAGACCAAGTCGCAATGGCTAGCCGAGCGCCACAAGCACTGACTCCCAGCCTTCCCCCCGCTGGCTTCAAGCACAAAGCCGCAATCCTCCTGCAACTCCCTGGCTGCGTGCTCCAGAGAACACACATTCTGACGGGCTGCTTCCATGACCACCAGCCGGTCGCCTCTCAGTGGTTCGGAGGCAAAAAACAGAGACGTCCCATCTTGGCGAACTGCCTCAAGCATGATCTCGCGATCCTCCAGCATCGCGTCGCGGGCGAAGAAGACTGCCTCCCAGTTCAAGCGAACAGCTGCCAGCACTACCTCCCGGTCGCCCAAAAGATCTCCAGAGGCGTGTTGAAGGGCTAGACCATTTCGGCTCACAGCTTCCAGGGCAATGGTGCGATTGTTTTGCGCTTCTTCAGATGCGAATTCCAGGACTTGCGGGTCTCTTCTCACAGCTTCCAGCACAAGGCCACAATCCCCTCGCAGCTCTGGCGTTGCAAAGCGAAATGCTCTAGGACTCTGGCGCACCGCGGCCATAACAACATGGGGGTCACGCCGCAGGCTTGTGGGCATGCACTGCAGCATTGCCCAACTTTTCCTCACAGCTGCCAATGCAACTTCGGCGTCGCCCTGCAGCGCTTCTGGCGCATACCACAGAGCCTGGGCATTCCGACTCACAGCCGCCAACACGATGCCGCGGTCCGCCTGCAAATTGTGAGACGCAAACGCCAGCGCGTGCCCATTTTGGCGCACAGCTGCCAGCACCGTTGGTCGGTCACTCCGTGATGAAGAAGGAGCCCACGAGAGAACAAGCCCATCTTGGTGGGCCAGCCGCAGGAAATCGTCAGAACCCAGAATGCCGCTTGAGAAACGAACAACGTAGATCGCTTGGTAGATGATGCTGCTGAAGATCAAAATGCAGAGAAGCTCAGCCCACCTGCATGGCATCGCCCTGAGCCTGTCTACGGCGCGCTTTGTCCTTATCTCCTTCCCGCGAATCATCCTGGAACACACAGTGGCCCGGCACATGGGGCACAGCCGCACACGGCTGGCGCAAGGGATGCAGAACTGGTTGTGGCCACATGGCTGGAGTACGACCTCCCTCTCAGCTTCAAAGCAGATTGCGCAGGTGCTCTCCTCCATCCAGGCAAAAGCCGCAGAGCCCCACACACTGAGCCCGCCCACTGATCAAATCCACCTACACTCGACTAAAGCTGCTTGCAGGACGGGCTGATCCTTGCAACAAGTATGACATGCCGGAATTGAACGTTACAGGGCATGTATGAATCTGACAAAGGTTTGGGCTGTGCGCCAACTCGCTCTGGCTAGGGACTTGGGAGCAAAAAGGAGTCAAATGATTGAATTACAAGAGATGTTCTGGAAAGTTGGGTGTCTTTGAAGTATGAACCCTGACTGTCCTTGTACCACAATGCTTTGCTCGACAGAAAAAGGCAGGGCGGTCCTCCTCAGTCCCGTTGCAATGCGTTCCACGGGGCAACCAACAACTTCCCCATGCATCTGAACCAAGTCTGCCAGAAATGATCAAGGATTCCTTGGACTGTTGATGGATTCTAACACAAGTATAGACCAACAAAAAGAATGAAAAAGCTCAACGGCAGGATGTGAGAAACTAAGAAGCACTGGGCGCGTCTTTCAGTTGAGGATACCGTTTTCGGGGTTGCCACCAGCCGGTACCCACCTTGTGGTTGACCCGACTGACCCCACATTTCCCATTCAGAGCCCATGCAGTTCGGCAGGAGCTTTCTCCGTCCTTGCCGTCCACCAAGCCGGGCCCGCCCATGCCAACTCACTACTTCTTGGTCGCGTGTGTTGTTTGAGGGGGGAAGCCAAAGGGAAACCACCCAACTTGGGGGTTTTCTTTGACATACGCGAGGCTTAGTGGCTTCAGGTCAAATGGCAAGCCTATCGGACATTGCTTATGAGTAAGGACCCATCATGGGTGAGATCTCGTTTTAGCCCCAAGTGATTGAGCCGTTTTGGATGCGGCTGCCTCGCTCTTCAGCATCAGAATGGATCAAACAGCAGTACTTGATACCTGTGTGTGTGTGTGCGTCTATCAAAAGAATTCCCAAAACGCCTGCAACCATTCCATGGCAGTCTCAATGGTGCGTTCCACAGTTGCCTGCATTCTACTTGGCTTTGTCCTGATCCACTTTGAAGCTCTGTGTCATGCCGGACCACCCCGCAGCCCTCGCGGAACCTGGTGGAGCCCTGGTGGAACCCTGGTGGCGCCCCGGACCACCCCGGAGCCTATCTGGGCTGAGACCCCTTGCCAAAGCTTTTCAGCTGTTGGGGAAAAACACCACCAATCGGACCAACCCTCAGCGCCAAAGCAAATGGAAAGTCAACCGAGTTCTTTCAGCCAACGTCGGCGAGTTGCCAACTGACAAGCCCCATGTTCCCAAGTGTTGCCAAGCAAACCCGAGGATGCCCTCACCAAGCCTCTTTGCCTCACCGCGTCTGCCTTTTGTGGGGCTGGAATCCTCTTCCCAAGGCCTCCCCTTGGCCAAAACTGGGCTGTCCGTTTTCTGATCCCCCGCTAAAAGTTTTCAACTTTTAGTTTCTTTGTGTTTTTTTTTTCTTCTGGAAACCCAGTCACTAAACTTTCACTGAACCAACCAAAAACAACTAACAACCTCAGGATCCGGATTCGGATGGCTGGAAACCGGCAAATCCCAGCTCCCAACCTGTCCCTGGGAAGCCGCGCCGGCACTGCCCGGCTTGGGAGCCTGCCAGATGGATGTCGCTCGCTTTTGGGCGCCGCATGCCTCAATGAGAAGCCTGGATCAGTGAAGCCCAAGCTGATGATCAACCCCCACCAACTCCTCAGCACCATCGAGTCCGCCTTGAAATCTGGGGATTTCTCGCCGGGATGGGCGAGCTTTTTTCGCCAGGAAATGTCACTTCGGATGTCCGTGAACGCACCGCCTGCTTCACTGATACTGAATGCCTTCTAAAGCCGCAACATCAACAGTGCCATGCCCAATGAGCAAGCGAGCAAGCCGTCCTCCCTTTTCCCAAGCAAAACTAAGGTGATCGCGGCGGTCCTGGCGAAAAATATGTCATACCATCTTCATGTCAGCAAAAATGCAGAGATGCAAGGCATCACCAATTTAGTCATCCGGTGACCAGCCAAACGGGATTGAACCTACAGGTTCCCAGCTCCATCGTGCACCCAGCTCCGGCCAGAGCCGTCTACCACTTTCGGAAAGCTGCACGCGCGCAATACGGGAATTTGTCTCACTCATGTGCCCTACATGTCTTTGAAAACAAAGGTTTGGTGTTCAGACGAACACTTCCTAAAACTAGTTTGCCAACAAATGCATGGGATTAAAGAAAAAAACAACTGAACACTCCTTGGCGGAAAGGACTGGAATGACATCGATTGGGAATCCCACTTATGGGGAACCATATCAACCTGGCCGCTTAAATCCGCCAGAACACCACCAAACCACCAAACTACCAAACCCTGAAACAGCGAGCAGAGCTGAAACAGCGAGCCCTCTACCAGCTAACGGTTGCCTGCACCCCCCCCCCCGGAAGCACCCCCACAGCCGCCCTCCCCCCCCCCGCCGCTCTTCCGCCCACTCGGCCTCCAATCGATCCAATTTGAAGCCCCCGTCCGAGGCGGTAGAGGCGCTCGAGGACACCGCCGGCGCGAACCTCGGGCGAGGCGCCGAAGAAATGCGCGACGGGGCGAGACCGCGCGCAAGCGCAAGAGATGCGCCGTGACCCACCGCAAAGGACAAGGCAAAACAAGGGAAAAGCTAGGAAAAACTGAGAGCAACAAAGGGAAACATAGAAAAAACAAGGGACAAAGCTAGGAAAAGCTAGGAAAAACTGGGAACAACAAAGGGAAACATAGGAAAAACAGGGGAAAAAGCTAGGAAAAGCTAGGAAACACTCGGAAAAACAAGTGGGTCGGGACCCCCAAAATGGTGGTTGTTCTTTATTGTGTCCCTTGAAAACAGACTGAAATGGTGTACCCTCAACAAAAAACAGACCCTAACACGCTACAACTCCCCTGCAGATCAACTTGGAACGCAAATCCCGTTGCTTTGCGAAGATTATTCGGGGCGCCCAAGTTCGGGTTCCACAATCATCTGCAGGGAAGCATTCCAATCAAAAGGGGCCTCCTGACATAGTCGATCCGAGTTGTTCATCGCCCCGACGAGAAAAGAAACCAACGGATCGTTGAAGCCTTTCAAACAAGGGACATATTTACAAGGGGGGCCCAAATTGGTGGACCCCCTTTTGGTTGGTATCTAAAGGGAAACCGAAAGGAACCAACCATGTGGAGGGGTCCCTAATTTTGAGAAACACCCAGATATGTCTTCCATGAGGATGCCTTTTCGGGGGGGGGGGGTCCATTTTGAGGTTCAAAATGGAAGAAACACGGGACCGGACCCGTATCTGATGATGTCCGGAAAATGCGAGACACCTAAAGATGGGTCCAGTCCTCTGGATTTCCCTTTCAATACCATCCACAAGGTTGTGCCTCATTTGTCAAATCTGTTGGATCCCTGTGGGTGGATGGTTGTCTGTTGAATATCTTTCTTCAAAACCAAACCAGAAAGGGCTACCTAGTTTTAGACAGACCCAAGGAACATGTGGGATGGGATCAAACAGCACACTTGGATCCGCATCGACTGGAATTGGGACTTCATTGATGGCATGCTGACAGGGACTGACAGGATCCCAAGCTATTGCCTCTTGTTCCTGCACTGCTTTCACCAAGCTTGGGCGTGTCGAAACCATGCCAACATTGGAGCTGGAAAAGGGGGCCTTGTCCAAGTATGTGGCTAGTAATCAGGTCCGTTCAGGCATGGAAAACCAGGACAGGAATACTGTGGATGGACGAAATCCTGCACCTAAGAAGCCCTGGAATGATGTTGCCCCTTGTAAATACCAACAAACAATGATTTCCATCGGTTCCAAAGCGGTGCAGGATTTCGTCCATCCGCGGTATGTCCTTCTAGATTCCTCTAGAAGGTGAGCTGCGGTTCATTTCATAAAAGGGTATTTGCCGAAAGGTCCCCCTTTGAGGCTTCGTTCAGCTTCCGTTTCAGCTTGGGACTTATGTCCAACATGTTGGAGTGTGTTGCTTCGGGTTCACAACCACGGGGTCCCCAGTCGCCCAACCAAAAACAAGTGGATGGACAAAATCCTGCACCACTTTGAAAACATGACTGAAGCCCTTGTTTGTTGGTATTTGAACGGGAATCAAATAATTCTAAATTCTAGGTTTAACCAAAAAAAGGTGGTGCGAAATGGATTTCGTGCATCCAAAGCATGCCATGTCATGATCATGAGTGGTGCAAATGGCCCTATTGCGGACAGTACTTCTGAAGTCTGGCCATGTGGACCTGATGTAAATCACTTGGCCATGGGTCAAATCCAAATCCTAACCCCCACTAAAACAGGTTCTAAAATGGGTGGTGCACCTACCTCAAAATGGTACCATTGGTTTTGACCCACAGCCACTTCACAAGTGCCAGGGGGTGGGTCCCTAAGCAGTTGGACCCAGGACCCCCCGCTGCAGGCGTTTGGCCGCAGCGTCGAGCTGCAGCCGGTGTTCCGCCTGAAGAAGCCGGCAAGGTGGCTCGCCCTTTTGCGGGCGCACTGCTTTGAGGGGTGGTTTCGAAAAGGAAACCCAAAGGAAACCCAAAGGAAACCCAAAGGAAACCCAAAGGAAACCCCCAAAGGTTCGTATAACATATGCCCAATCCCCACAAAGCATAGCTTGAAGGTGATTGCCTGGTGGGTTTCCTTGGGGAGAAGCGAGCCCTAAATCTCCGGACTCACATGGAGAGTAGAACCCCCCCTCCCCGAATATCGGATGTTGACACATCATTCAGAATTCAGCGCTCTTCCAGATGATAAGAGCACACCTTTGGAGAGCTGCCAACGACTTCTTCTCTGCCGCCACCTCGACCAACCGTGGTGGGCAGTAGGATGTCTCTCTGTGTTCAATCATGTCAGTGGAATCATGTCATTGAAGTACATGCTGCAGCATCTCTCTTCGATGCCAACTTCGCCGCGATGGATCTGGCGCCCTCGGCATCGCACGAAAAAACCGGAGCAAGGATCAATCAGCTTGCCAGCGCGATGCAGAGCCCCCCGGTATGATGGCAAGCATCAGCCCCGGTATGACCGGGTCCGTCCCTAGCGGAAGGCTTCCAAACGTCTGCGAGCCAAGCCGGATTGGTTTGAGGTGTACCCAGAAATTTCTTGGGCAAAACATAACACGTGTGAACGAAACTGTGGACTGCTGAGCGCTCCGAAAGAAGAACTGTGGTCGAAGCCCTCTACACTATTGCTTGATTTTTTTTGGGGTTACAGTAGCGCATGTATTTTGTATGGTGTATAATCACAAAGCCACCGCACAAAAGCCCGCGCACTCTAGGAATGCATGGGCATGCTTCCACATTAGACACACCCTCCCCGAAATGGCAGACCTGTCTAAGGTTTCCAAACGTAATCCTTCAAACAACTCGGCAAGGGTACTGTCAAACACAAGGCAACAGGCGAACAACCCTTTTATCTAGCCAACACATGGCTCCCTCCAACCACATGAGTATGGCTACACACATGCGTACATTTGTATGCAGCCGTATGCGTCAATGTCCACATATAACGTATGCATAGCGACGGGTACGTGTAAATGTAGGTACACAACATCTCTAAGCGACCCTTCAAAGCAAACCCTCAAAACGGGCCCTTCACAGAAACGGCGCCTCGTTCTGGCGAGGCAGGTCCAGCACAATGCCCGGGAAGGTGCCCAAGCCCTCAGAGAGGAGACGTGGGAAGGAGCTCATTGGCTGGGCGGGGGCGTTTTTTTTTTTTGCCTGCCTGGTTTGCGATCAGTTCGATCAGTTTCCTTTCTTCGGTTTGAGCACCAGCAAGTGACCTTTGGTTTCCCTTGCAAAGCTCAAACCAAGGGCTCTGGGGAAGGCATCCACCGGGCTCAATCTAGATGGAACCTAGTGCCCGGGTTTGCCAAGCGAAGTCTTCGGGGTTCCCTTCCTTTCGACCCCTTTCGACCCCTTTCAATGACAAATCCCGCCCATGGCATGTTGACCCAGACTTGGGGGAAGACGGAGAGCGCCCTTCAAAGTGATGCTCTGCACGTTTCGGAGGTTCCCCTTGCCTTGGTTCAAGAAAAGTCCAAGGGTCGCCTTCTCGCTCTGTGACATGGCACGAAAGGAAACCGGCGACTAGCCGCGGGCCCCGCATTCAAATAAGTGCAACCAGATGCGGGGACCGTTGGCAGCCTAGAGCCGCAAATCCCTGCCTGATTTCAGGTGAGAGGATAACAGGAGTTTCTAGTCTTTGTGCAAGAAAGTCTGTCTGCCTCCTTGTATAGCAGCTCCTTTCCACCTTGAGCTACTTGCCGGTCCTTTTCCTGGGTGCTTCCGACTCACCTCTCGTAACCTAGTCACTACCAAGTTGGTTTTTCTGGGCATCTCAGCACTCAAAAGAGCCAAGTTTTGTCCGGCTTTCCGCGGAAACGACACACATCCTAGCCCTCACAAGTTTGATTTGCACCAAAGAAGCAAACTGGCTATTTTAGGGTGCATTCTGGCTTCCATCAAAAGAGGGCCCCTGGCAATCAGAAGGAGTCAAACTCAAACCTGTTATTAGATGAGTCTACCCGAAGCAGCGCTAAGAATTCGAAGAGCGGCAACACCTATTTTAGGCTTGGGCAGTCCTCAACAACCCTCCAAGTATCCTAATTTTGCCTGTGGCTCAAACATATCGGTGGTTGTGCTGAAGAGTCAAGCCGTACGTTGAACATCGAACATCCGCATTGGATGCACCCGGACCTTTTGGCAGCTTCTTTGTGTTTGCAGCTCAACTCGTTCCAATAGATTTCACTCCCTCAGACTAACAGCGGGAAGCTCCCAAAGGCCTCCGTACATGGCTTGCCAAGTCTTCCATTTCGGGGTCCGGTCGGGAGCTTCCATGGGGGAGGCTTCGCCTTTCCCTTTGGTTTGCCTTGAAACTGAAACCCTCAACTAGGTCCTCCAGATTTGAGAGGTTAGAATAAGGGTACCCTTTTTTCTGTAGTCTATTTTAGTAGGGGAACCCTCCCCCAAAAAAGGATAAAGGGGCACTACTGGGGGACCGAGTCAAAGGAGCACCCCTCCACCTGTCCCGCGCCCCAAACTCGCCACTTCGACCTCACAACCCCAGGGCTCCCCGCGCGCACCGTGAGCACCGTGGGCTCGAAATGGGCCACCTCCACCAGGACCTGCTCCACCTGTCACAACCCTTGGCATGGCAGCAAACCCACCCATTTTGTTGGGGGAACCTTGAACACGAACCTTCCAACCGGTTTTTGTCAAGGGAACCAATTTGAACCTGTTTTGTTGCAGCCCCCCGACCATAAAAGAACAGAACGAACAAGAACAAACCAAAGACAACCAGGTCGCCAAGAACAGTGAAGCTTTGTCAGCAACATGCAGGAAAACGCGAGTCCGGTTCTTGTGGGGGATCTTTGGTGGAGGCCCCGCGTGCTTTTTTGGAATTGACCATCAACTGGATTTGTTAAGCAAAATTCTCATTTGCTTTTTTTGCATTGTTCAGCCTTCCAACCCCAGACATCGTGTCCCCTTGTTTCCCCTTGATTTTCTCTAAGCAAACCTCTGTGGCTCAATGTTCCGTCTGCGGAGTTCCCAACTCGAACTCGCGGCGTCCCGGCGTCCCCTTTCAGGCCCTCGCCACCAGGTCCGGAATGCCGGCGCGGAAGCGCACCGCCACCTGGCGAATCGGGGCGCTCCGAGCGCTGCACCGGCAAGCCTCGTTCCCCGGCAAGCCTCAGGTGCCCCGAAACCCTTCGCGTTTTCTTTTGACAGAAAGAGGACATGGAGATTTGCGATTCTAGGAACATCAAAGTTGATCGCCTTCAAGCATCGAGCGCCCCATCCTCCCTCCCGCCCTGGGCAAAGGAACAAAAGAAGTTTGCATTACATATCTACACACTGATCTATTCAAGCATTGAAAGTATCTTCACAAAATGTAGCATATAGATCGCCCCCATCGCCCCCCATCGCCCCCCATCCTCCCCCCCGCAAACAAAAGAATGTAGCCGATGCCATGGGGCCGGCCTCTTGGAAAACACTAAAAAAGCAAAAACGTAAAAACATGATCAAAGCAGAACAAAGAACACAACAGACCTGGCCCAGAAGTGCACCCCATGGCCCCCGGAAACCCCTGTAAGCTGACCTCAGCACATTGGGTCTGCATCTTGCTTTTTGCTTTCCCCACTCGGTGTTGCCCTTTTGGGGGGAGGAGCTCCTTCATGCCAAAAACCACTTGAACAAACAAAAAATGCAGACCCCATGCCCCCCCTTCGTCGCTGTAAGCCCTCAGCACATTGGCCCTGCAATTGTGTTTTCTTTCTTGAGAGGTGTTTTGTTGTCTTGTCGTCTGTTGGTTTTCGAATTGTGTTTGGCTTTCTCAAGGTTTTGGGTTGTTTGCTTCTCTCAAGTTGTTGTTTTGTCTTTTAGTTGTTTCCTGTTAAGGGGCAGGCAAACTGTAAGAAACAACCAGCGTGTATATCCTTATTAGATTGTATGTAAGTTCTAATTGAATTATGCTTAAAGCCCCACTTGGAAAGGAAATCCTTCTTGACATCAACTTCAGAATAATACATCTAGTTAACTCCTATCAAGCGTCTACTTAATGTAAGATATTTTTGGAAATTAGCAAGAAGACACAACCAGCTTGTCTCTCCTTACAAAATTCTATCTAGATTGCAGTTAAAATATAGTCAACATTCTAGTTGCTTGGAAAGGAATTCCTACTAAAATATGATTTTCAAAGTAAGAAGTATAACTGTAACATAATTATATACTTAGAATTACTTAGAATAAACAACCGGCGTGTCTTTTCTTATTATATGTAATTAAGTTACAATGAGTTCTTAACCAAGTTCCAATTGAAGTCCAATCAAAGTCCTATTGGAAAATGAACTCCTACTTCGAATTGGAAGGAATTCGTGCTTGCAATCTGCTTCAAAATACGAGCTCTAATAAAATAATAATCGAACTAAATTTCGAAAGACAATCCGATTTAACATCTAAATGACAACTATACTTGAAATCGTCTTGGAAGGGAAGAACTAAACAACATCTCATTCAAAACGCAAAACAGAATTGAAGTCTATTCGATTCCCATTAAACTTCAAACCTCGCTATTTAAACCTTGCAAACCAATTGAAATGAAAAAACAAGTTAAGAGAATTGCTGCTACTCTGGCTTGACACAGCAGCTGGCACCCAACTACTCTATAATAGCTCTGGATTCTGCTTGAAATGCAATTATTTCTCAGATTGTTCATTGTATTCAACAACCCAGGCCAAAAACGCCCCACAGCTCAACAAAAACGGGCCACACCTCCTCTAAACCCAAAAACAAAGGGGTGCCCCCAAAACAAAACAAAAAACGGGGGGCCCAAAAACCAGCGCCTTCCCCCTCCGCCCGTAAATCGCCCGCCCCTAAATCCGCCCGCCTTGAGCCGCTCCTCCGGTTTCAGCACGCCGCTGAGGGGCACCACGTCCACCACGAAGGGGCGGGAGACCCCCGCGAGGTTGAAGTTGAAGCTGGCCTCGGCGCTGCTTCGGCGCTGCTTCGGCGCTTCTCGGCCAGTTGATTTTCGGCGGTGCGGTTTTCGGGCGCTGCCAAGTCGGTCTCTTTTTTTCCTGGGCCGGGTTTTTTTCTTCGCTTTGTGGATGGTCGCCGCAAAATCAACCAACCAAACAAACAACCAAAAGGACCAAACGACCAAACAACCGAACAACCGGGGGTTAAGCCCTAGCCGAGGGGAGAATCAAAACAAAAGCACCGGTTGATCGGTGCAATGGAAACCACCAGGTTTACTGATCAACTTTAGATTTGGGGAAATCTAGTGACGGTTTTTAAGGGTTTTGGTAGTCATCACTAGGTGAGCTATGCAAATGCCGGCATAAACAGAAGTTGGAGAAGTGAGACGCAAATTTGCCTTTTCGGGAATTTTGGGTTGTGCATCTGGTTGAGGTATGAAAACAGCGGTAGCTTTTCAGGCTTCGGTTTTGAAGTTGAAAATGGCCTTGCGCCAGCGAAAGGGCTTGACCTTAGCTGAAACTGTCTGGGCGGAACATGGGGTGCGCTTCCCAAATGCAAACTGCGGCTTCAACCAAAAGTGTGGCTGCTGGCCGAAAATCCAACGAAAGCTGGTGCTGGTCAAGCGCAACAGGAAACTCCTGTTGATGACTTGGCACCATCTCCTTGCGTTCGAGCATGTCCCCCGTGTTTCTTGTCGACAACGCTGAAGTTGGAGCAAGCGTCCTCCAGTTCTGGCTAAACATGCTTAAACAATGGCGCAATCTCCATTTACGGGGGTGTATTTTCCATTGCGGGTGTTGAATTATTGAGGGTGCCGATGCCTTTTCTTGAGGAGTCCGACTTTCTATGTTGTTGTTTCTTTGTTTTTGTTTTTGTTTTGGGGGGGGACGGTTCCCTAAAGCAGCCCACTTTGGGCATATGCCTTGTCATTTGCTTTGTTGGAACTCGTCGATAAAATCCAGAACCCCACGACATCCACTCAGAATCACACGACATCACCTTGGCAAGCTCGAATTGTATAGTATTCCTACAACTTGACCAGTGCCCGGAATCGGATTCGGACACCTCGACTTCAAGGAGCCCTCAAGGCGCATTCCCCTTGCCATTGGTGAACACGCGAAAAATCCGCCGGCGCCAGTCAAGCGTGTAAATGGCAATCCGCACCTTGCTCTTCCTTCGGATTGTTATTTTCCTCATGTTGTTGTTTTTGCCGATTTCCGTGGTGTTCTTCTGTTGAGAGATGTTGGGGTCTTGGCGCCGGCAAGTGTAGTGACGATCTAAGGAACTGCTAAAATTTGGAAAAATGTGTTTGTGCGAAATCCCCATTCGTACATGGGCTGCAAACATCCCCAGCAGTATTGTGCTTTTAGAAGCTTGTATTTCGGGTATTTAGAGGGGGTTGCTGTCATCCGTTGTTCGATGCTTGATTTTTCTGCACGCTGCATCCCCTGCATTTCCTGCAGTCCCAGCATTCCTCGCACCTGGCCCATTTGTTGTTCGTCGCGGCTGTCGTCGCACCACAAATGGCGTCGGCGGATGGCGCGATTTCAATTCAGTTCTCACAGCAGTTGAGTCACCAAAAACACCTCAAAGCAGCAGTTAAGTAAGAACTCCAAAAACAGTTGAAGCTGGCCTCTATAGCAGTCCACTGCGATTGATTGTCTAAATGGTGCAAGTACACCAACCACATCACGCAGCAAAGGGAAACCCAAGCCGGCCTATCAAGCAGTGTCAAAATAGTGATGTTGGAGCCCCAAAACGGCTATGTTCCTCTGGAAATCACTTTTAAACAAGCTCAAACCAGGTACCAACCCAAGAAAACACACATCCAGTTGAAGAGCAACACATCTGGGGGGGTGTTGGTTGCACATTGCTGGGGCCGAGCGCTGGCACTTGGCCGCGGTTGGAGAGGTACAGCTCCGACTCGCCAATCTGGCAGTGAAAGTCTGGAGAAGCTCGTGTATTTTCTAAAATACGGGAAACCCTGTTGAACATTTTTGGGGTGGCTTAAAGGGAACCCAAAAGAATTCCATTCATTTTGGGGATTCCACCATTTTGAGACAAACCATCCAACTTGCAGAATTCCACCAGTGCTTGTTCTTGCTGAGGGTGACGAGATTGCAAGTCAAATAAACTGATCTCTCAGTGAGATCGATTCTTGAGTCACCTATCATGGCCCGGTCTCTCTGATAGATTGTCTTGAATCCTCCCAAGAAATGGCTCGTTTCATTTTGGTTTGCCTTTAAAACCAAACAAAAAAGGGTAGCCTCTTGCACCCGGCTTGGGGGTTATCAGCCCGGGCCCCATGCCTCCGTGAAAGGAATGTCTCCAAAGTCCAGCTCCGTCCTGGCACCAAGCTAGTAACTGGCAACAAGACGCCATTCCAGGGGTTCATTCCCCAAAAGGACACAGCTCAGTTTTGGGGATGCCCCATGACAAAGACACACCCCAATATTTAGGGGTTGATTCCAACCATTCTTTTCAACCATAGTTCTTTTCAAACACCGGATCCGTTTTCCCGGGATTCCGGAGGTTTTCTAGAAAGAAGGATACATATTTCCGCATTCCAGAAAGGGTACTCTTAAAAACGGGACACGCCGACAAAACACGTCCTGATCCTCCAGGGCAAGGCAAAAGGACTCAATCATTCACGGACTTGCCGCAGGTCGCAACCCTCTGGTATCCCGAACTGGAGTTGCTCTGCTCGATGCATGCTGCGTGGATGCCGAATCCAAGCTCGCACATGTACGTGTGTCAAGGCCAAGGACCCCGTTGGCCACAGTGAAGGGGCCAAAACATTTGCAGGTGTGATGGATGTTGGACTGCCCAAACGTGATGGTTGATGGCCTCGAAAAGGAAACCTTCGGCCACATGCAGGCACCTTCGGCCACCAGCGGGCGAGCGGTTTGCGAAAAACCAGCTCCCAGAAAGACCGAGATGCCTGCAACCTTTGATACATGAACCAGCCAGATTCTGAGTCCGTTTGGGGGCCAAGCCACAACACGAGCGGCATGCTGCGGATGGACACATCCTGCACCACTTGGAACGCATGAAACTCATACTGCGAACCACCCAGCAACTGCTGGGGCGATAAATCCACAGTCGGTGCATGTGATTTGATGGGTTCGACTGGTCTCCTGTCGAGGTTGTACTTGCAAGGCGCCGCGGTGCCCTTCAGCTGCACCTGCGGCGTCGGTCGGCTCCCTTTGCGTGTCTCATGAGAAAATGGACCCCGAGTGCCCAACCAGACGGGTGTTCCACTTGATTTCCCTCTACAACCCAAAAAGGCGATTTTCCCTGCGGCTTTTTGTGTCCCTCTCGGGCAACCGCCCAAAGCTTGGTTCTGTTTGGGTTCCTTTCACAACCCATCCCCAAAAAGCCTGCGTCCATGCGCAACAAAAAGAGCAAACCGGGAAAGCTTGCCATTCGGGGAAAACACATTTCCAACTCTGGGGTTTCACTTGTTTCCAGAAGTGCCAGATCAAGCCATGGCCCTCATTTAAGAATTCCAGAGAGACGGCGAAGAATTCCCGGAGCAGTTTGCCTTCAATTGTGAAGGCGAGCCTTTGCACCACAAAAAACAACTCCTGTACGCTTTTCAGCTTCTTCGGTTTGACACATGCCAGCAATTGTCGAGTGGTGACAACGGGGATGGATCATGTTTAGGGCACTATCTTCTCAAGACATGAAAAAAAGGGATTCCTTCCTCGCATCAACCCTACGAACTCTTTCCTTTTGCTGCCTTTTTGAGCCGCCAGGCCTCGTACTCGGGGCCGCCGTCCACCATGCAGACCGCCACCGCCTTGAAGGAGCGGTCGCGCAGGGCTTCGTACCTGGAGCCCGCGAAGGTGGGGGCGGTGGGAAGGCTGTGGGGGAGAAGCGGGGGTGAGGGGAGGAGGGGTTCGGGGGGCGGGGAGTGAAGGGGGGTTGGGGGGGGAGGGGGTGAGGGGGGGTGGGGGTGAGGGGGGGATGGGGGGTGGGGGGGGGGGAGTCCGTGGTTCCCAATTCCATGTTCATTGGGGTTTTACTAGAACACCCGATGCCTGCGATGGTTTTTACTTAAAAAAAATGTATTTGTCATAAATCGGTTGCCATGGTTTGTTTTTGCTGAACACCCGATGCCTGTGACGTTGCATCAAAAACCCATACATTTGTTACAAAAGGGAAAATGGGTTGCCATACATGGAGATCTCCAGGGGTCAAAACTCCATAATACTTCTTTTCCCCAAAGGGAAAGTTGCCACAAATGGAGCTCTCCGGCCCTCCCCCAAATCCATTAAGGGTGGTCCTGTAGCTCGTTTCCCTCTAAAGATGTTACTCTCCCACCAAATTCACATGGAACCTGACGTTCTGGAAGGCCATTTTCCTTTTGAAGGGACCCTCTGGTGGGTTCTATGTTGATTGGTGGCAGGGTAGCAGTCCCGGCGCCCGTTGGATCATTTGGGAGATCCACTGCCCTATTGCAAGAAAACGAGCCAGAATCACATGGTAAATCCCACGGTAAACTAGAGCAACTACAGTCCGTAGAGGGTTTCCTGACTCCCCTGCTTGCAAAATATTTAGGGCATCCTCCGCAGAAGGACCCCCCCGCATCACCTGTTGTGAGTGCGTGCCGGGGCGGACAAACAAAGTTTCCCTACACCTTGAAGAAGACACGTCCATGACATTCTGGGAGCAATGCCGGGGCTGCTCAAAACATGGGCCTGTTTTGACCGCCCAAGGTGCCGCCTTCTACAAATAACCCCGTTCTTTTCTGGGGTGAGATGCTTCTTAGCAGGGAATGCGGACATGACTCTGAACTTTTGACCATCCAATGTGGGTTTCCAAGGGGATCCCACATAATTCGCTCCCAAAACCCCTCCTTGAGATCCAGTTGCGTTTTCTTCGCTACCCCAAGGTAAACTTCAACCCAGTTGGCTTCCCAAAAAAAGAGCGGCAACCCAAAACTGGACCCCTGCCCGGGCATCCTTCTCGTGCCCGGCCGTTCAACCGCAAGTCAACGTTCGATACGTGATGCTTTTCACCGAGTTTAGGGGGCTTACTGTTGCCCCTGGGTTGAACAGAAAGTCACCTTTGGCCCTTCACTGAACCCGCCTGGGTGTGCCTTTTGACCCCCCCCTTTCTGCTGCACTGGTTGAACCCATTTCACCGGCCGAGCCATTTGTAGTGGAATCGGCCCTTGGAATTGGAACCTCAGGGTTCAACGTTCTGGCCAAAACAATGTAAAGAATTCAAAGGCCATCCCCCTCCCTGTCACTTTCCCGGCTTTACTTGCTGGGTTTGCTACGCTTGCTTCTTTTGTTGGCTGCCAAACGGGGCTAGAGCGTAGCATCCATCAGCACCCCGCACTTGAGAAATCAATTGAAGCGTCAGTGCGCTGGCTCATCAACCATCTTGCCGGTGCTCAGTAGGGAATGTGGGAATGAACCCAGGGATTCCCTTAGAGGAAACCACCAGTTGGAATGTTAAAGGTCATTCCATTTCTCATGACGAGACACGCACCAGCAAGCCATGGAAGCTGACCGCCGGGGGAGCTTTGGACATGTTTCCCTTCGGGGATTGGAAGAGAAGATCCTTCGAGCAGCCGCGGAAAATGGATCTGAGCCCCTTGGTCCCTGGCCCCTGTCTTATGGCTTCAGGTCACCCCCCCAAAAAAAAAAGAAAGTTGGAGACATGGCCATGGGTCAAAAGCCCGTAGCCCCAGTGAACATCCCAATCCCCACTAACACAGGTTCTAAAATGGGTGGTGCACCTACCCCTAAAATGGGATCCCATTGGCTTTGACCCACAGCCACATTGGCACCTTGCCCACCCTTCAAGACTTGGTCAACCCGAAGCCGACGCGAAGACTCTCGCGCACGTGAAGGTGGCAACCTGGGTCTCGCCGGGCTCCAGCTTGCCGTAGATGGGCAAGATGTCGAAGACCTGTCAGGTGAGACCCAAACCAAACACACCGAGCGGTTCGGGAACCATGGGAATTCTGGGTGGGCGTCTTGGTTAGACCCGAACCAAACAAAAAATCATGGGAATTCTGAGTGGGCCTCTTGGTTGGCGAGATCTGTTTAAAAAAAAACAAAAAAACAAAAAAGCCATTGTGCCGGTGTTTACTTGGTTTTAGGGGGGGCATTTAACCCAGTAAAAGTTAAACACTTTTAGCGGAACTGAGGACGGCCCAGAAGCTAAAGTATAAGAGGAACTTATGACCATGACCGACAAAAAGGGAATGTGGCCATTCTTCCTAAGATAGCACCTGCAGGGAGAGTGCCTGGAAAATGATGGTCCAGGTGCCGTATGTTCGTCACAACACCCTTGGGGTTGGTAAGGTTGCCTGCAAACCCCTGTTCGGGTTCGGACAAAATCAGAGAAAAGCTTAATTGCTACCGGAAACACTGCCATTACTTACATGGGTATGGGTCAAAATTAAACCAGCAGGAATCGGACCACAGGTTTTAGTCATTGTTTCCATTTACCAGGGTGCCATGTTAGTACCTATTTTTGACCCACAGCCACATAGGGTATCTGCACCCTTGACACCTAAACGAGGATCCCTCATCAGGTTTCTCTTGGCTTCCGGCTCGTGACATGTTGAAGTCTCCGGTAGTGAAATCGGTTCCATTTAACACCAGGGGGAAGAACAAGAAAATGACCCGTACCGCCATTCATTTCAGTTGTGAATTTGATTCCATTTAACACCACAAGGGGAAAAGAAGGCAAAAACAAGTCAGCACATGGAAGCAAGCAAAGCATTCACAAATTCCACACCAACAAGGGGAAAATAAGACAATAACCAGTACCGCTATTCAAGACAGGCAAATGGAAGCAAGCAAATTTCCAAGGAGTGTTTACCGCCCGTTCTCGCCTGGCTCAGCTCCACCTCCTGCAGCGTGTTGTCCCCGACGCCACTGGCGCGGAGTCGCCGGTGCGACAGTCGCCCCATGCGAAACCCCGGCGCCCCATTTGCGACACCCCCAAGAAGACGCCCCGAACAAAAAAGGACGCACTTTCGGGAAAATGGACATAGACCAAAGCTGGGATCGATGTGCTTGCGTGTTCTTGGAGGGTAGCCGCTGACTATGATGCCCACATTGTGCTTCCAAAGCTCTTGAACAAATAGATCGATCTCATTCGGAGACGTCCATATTGGACTCGCGAAGTTCAAGATGGGAAGGGCCAGGTTGTGCTCTTCTTTCTCACCCTCCCTACAAGCGCGGAAACTGGAGAATCCCTCTGGCAAACAGTTTGTTCCCCTTGACGTGACCCGCCGTCAGACTCCATGTCTGTGGCCGGAGGGGATTGTTTCTTTCTTGCGAAGCCACCATACGCAATTCCTGCCCAAAGGACCCAGAAGAAAAGGGTTAACGGAAAATGGACCAAGTCAGGGAAACCAAAAGGTCCAAAGGTCTGTTTTGGGCGACTGAGCATACTGCCAAGTGGCAGCGCACCCTTGTGAGAAATCCGTGCTACCAAAGGGGGCAATCCCGTCCTTCCTTGTCACTTCAAAGAGATTTGTGCTGGTATCACTCAGAATGGCTGCCAAACAGGGGTCGTCATATTTCGCCCACACATCGTCAAATGGTCAGGAATACCATTGATCTTTCCACAAAAGTATGTCACCCTTTTTCAGACAAACCCGTGTCAATACGGGGTACACAGGGGCACGTACCCTCCCGCCAACATGAAACCTACCTGGGGCGTCCCTGGCTTGTCGCAAACTTGGACTCAACAAAGCCAAGAGGCACAATCTGCAAGTGTGGCTGTCCAAGAGAGCGCAAGCTGAGTACAGGGTCCATAATCAGAACGAGGTTGTGGGGTACTACTCAGGGATCCTTCTTTCCAGAAAACCCTGGGAAAACGGATCCGGTGGTTGAAAAGAAGGATTGATGCTTGAAAAGGATGGAAAAGGAATCATCCCCTAGAACTATACCAATTTGATGCACGTGACTCGGACGCGTGTTGCCAAAAGAATCCGCCGAAGCGCGAGCGCCTTGTGGTGAAGCTGGCCCAGCTGGCCGAGGTGGAGGCGGCCGGGCTGCTGGGTAACTGGCGCGAGCGCGTCATGGGAAGAAAAACGGGAAAAATGATCGGGGTTGACAACAGGGATCCGGATGCATTATACACCTTAACATTGCCTTGTAAATGGTGGTGTCCCTTTGTTTTGGTGGAAACACCCTTGTTTCAATTGGCAAAATGTATCTTTTAAGGAGCCCTGGACAAGTTTAAATGTTCAACCAATGTAGTACATCAGAAGCTTCTTTTCCATGTATGTTTGGCAACACTTTACATGTTTAAATGTTCAACCAATGTATACGCATTAGAAGCTTCTTCTTTACCACGTACTTTTTTGGGCAACACTTTGCTTCATCATTGGGTTCGTCAGAATGGGCGTGTGCTTTGTGTTCGGGGTGCTTTGCTTGCCGGGAGCTGCAGAAACAGGCAATTGTCCACAAAAAAACAATCAAGCAGCAACACACACACACACTTACACTTGTACTGCGCAAAATTATCAGAGCTCCGGAGGGTGACGCTCTTCTCCACCAACCCGGCTGCTAGGTCGCCATGAGCTTGCACACGATGGCGTAGCACGTCGCGCAGGCAACGAAAAGTGGGGGCCCAACATGTTTAAACATTCCCACTACCTGGTGTTTGGCTGACGGTTTCTTCTGTTGGCAGCAAAACACCTCATGGTGATCTGCGGTGACTTTGCTTCCTGTTGAGAAAAGCCCCCAGTCCCTTCCGCTGGTCAGGTCTAGCGGGACTGAAGCATTGAAACAAGGGAACTACTTGAAAAGCTGGAGCTGATTGTATGCCACGGTTGCGGTGCAAAAACATAGCCGCCAACTAAGTATCCCATCTCACCCACTGAATTGGTAAACATACCAGGATTCCCCGTGTTCGGTATTGCAGTCCTGGGAGTATTCCAACATCAAAAGCAGAGTGCGGTGGATCAAAAAGGGCCGACTTGTCCCCCGCCTAAAGACAACTGCGCCATTCAATGCCGAAACCCTCTGCTCGAAATAGTACATGCTGCACACTCAAAATATGCAGTTCTGCTCATGGAACTCCCCCAAGTCGGGTGGAAAAATGTGTGAGTCCCCATGTCCCGAAACCTTGACACAAACTGACCATAGACTGGATATCTTGACCGAGCTGCAGACGTCGTTTCGCAATTTCGCAGGGGACTCAAATGCCGGGGAAAACCTGGCTGTCCTGCAGCGAAAACTTACAACACGCAACCGAAGACTCGCTTTCGCAAACCCGTCGAGACCCCACCCCGGCGGACCCCTGGATGGAGCGCCAGGTCGTCCACTCCCCCGTGGCTGACGCTGGCCACCTGAGGCTGGCATGGGTGGGCTGGCTACCTTATCTGGGTGGGATATGGGTTGCCTGGTCTAGGAAGTATGGGTTAGCGTATATTTTGTGAGGTGTTGGTTCAGGTTGGTGCGAGATTGATTTCAGGCTTGGTTTGCGGGTTGAGGCCTGGGTTTCCCTGTGTTTTTGGGAGCGTTCTGGACCACTTGCTGGGAACCTCGGCCAAGTCCAGCGACTCGGCCACATCTCTTGGTTGACTCGGTTGCGAAATCTGCTAAGCCCTGCTAAAAGTGACTAACTTTTAGAGGTTTAATTCGGAAAACCCAAAGTGACTAACTTTAAATTTCAAGCAAAATGCACCAAAATTGAACATGAGTTTGGACGCTCGGGTTTGCCAGAAACCGACAGCTATGTGTTTGATCCTGGTCCGTATTTTTTGAACTGTACGTAACGCGTAAAGTAATTTCAACCGTGCAATCCCTCTTGAGGGGTGCCCCTTTCGGTTGAACATCAGGTTATGCCGCCGAAGGGGTCCGATCTTATGTCTTGACCTGTGGGGACCCTTTGGGTGGCTCTAACAAACAAGTTCTAGGTTGCTAGACACATTGTGTGACGCAAGCTGGAACCTGTCAGTTCGAACGGGTGCCAAACGGACCTTTTGGAAACCACAACACTGAGCCGCTCATCCCTCAATCTCTAGCCACTGCGCTCATGCGACGCAAGGCAAAGGATGGTTCAGCCTATGCTTGCGCCAACATACCACCATCATGCAAACACCAATGCGCACGCCCCCTGAATCCTGGAGTCGTATTGGTCAATGTGGCCATGCATGCGTTTCCCCACACGATAGCCGCGGAGCAGCTTGATTGTGGGCGTCAATACCTGTTACTACCTGAGCACTCACATCACACATGAGCATATGTTGCCGAAGCAAAGAAACCAACCTCCCCTGTATGGAATGCCCGCACCCGACTCCAAACTATGGAGCAGAATCATCCCTCAGCTCAACCAACCCTAAGCAACCCGCACCAGCTCAAACAAAGCCCACATCATCCCTCAAAAAGCCCAAAGAAATTCGAAACCAACTGGGTGACAAATAGGAGAATGAACATCCCTATTCCGAAGGAACCTTCGCAGGGTGGCATAAGCAACCCCCCCTCCCCCTTTTCCGCAAGCTGGATCACTGTTATCGCACCAACCCCTCCACTATCCGATTGACTCAGTCTACCTGGGTGGCTCACTGTTATCGCACCAACCCCTCCACTATCCGATTGACTCAGTCTACCTGGGTGGCAGACTAGACGACAACAACAACTGGCCGCTGATGATGATACGCCCCAGCCCGAGCCTTTCCTTCCGCGCCATTTTTTTAAAACTGGGGCCCCAGGCAGAGCCTTGAAAGCGAGGGAAAGAGGTGCGAGTGTCCTCCAGTGTGGATGGAATCGAAATCCATCCAACGCACCACCGTTCAGATAAAATCCCTGTAAATACCAACAAACAGTGGTAAGAACCCCATGGAAATAATTGGAAATACGTGAAACCCCACCTAAGAATGTTTCGGTTCCCCTGTAAATACCCAAACAAACAGTTATCCCGGCAAGAGACCCCAAATAGTATTATTGGGTTTAACTTGATGACAGGTGGCCCAGAAGCAGAGAAAGACGTTAAACCAACTCTGACACCTCTCCCACCTGATGAGAAACAAATCGTAAACACGTGAATGTCCCTGCGCAAGTGTGGCTTCTGCCAGTTCTGATGCGCAAGCTTGGCACGCGAAGCTGTGCGTGATGTTGCGCGTCATGTTGCGCACGATGTTGCATGACGTTGCGCACGATGCAGCGCATGATGCTACGAAAGATGCTCTGCAACCTCTCTTGCCAAATCCTTAATGCCTTTTTTACTCTCTTGTCCATATCTGTGCGCAGCTTGGCTGCCCAAGAAGGCTGGCAGTTTTAGCTGCGGAAGTGTACTTCGCATACTACTTTTGTGCTCACAAGTTGTGATTTTCGTGCTGCATATACAGATGTGTAATTTGCGTGCTGCTTATCTATTTTAAAGTTGCGACTTTTTTGAGCTGGAGCTGCGGGAGCGCGCTTCGCGCGCCAGCCTTGCACATAGCCACTTACGATGTTGCAGCCGGAGCTGCGGGAATGCTCCTTGCGTACAACTTTGGACTTAAAGTTGCGAGCCTCGTGCCATGGGAACGCACTTCGTACACTCCTTTGACACTGAAAGGCTGCAACTTTGCAGCCGGAGCTTGGGAGCGCACTTCGCATACGAGTCTTGTACTTAAAACTCGCCAATTTCGAGCTGGAGCTGCGGGCGCGCACTTAGTGCACTAGCATCCACTGTATTTTTGGTCATCAGGGGTGGATTACACACTGACTCGAGGCGATTGCTCCATGTTTGAAAGGGTGGCCAGTAACACAGGGAGTCTTTGCATTCCCCAGCACTCTTGTGATCTGGTGCTGAACTGCTGATGCTCTCATTGGACATGTTCAGTCCAAATCCGGTGACGAGACAAATGCCAGCTGACAGAAATGACCTGAAAGCCCTGGAGGTCTTCAAAAGCTTCAAAGACAAGCTCAGATCACCTCTCACCGATCCCAAAACATCCTTCCTTCAGTCCATTCATCCACTACTCGTGTTGCCAGTGCTCAAATGACCCTGCCAAAACAATTTTGCCCTCATAGCCCAGATGTTCGATTCAAGTGGCGAGAAGCGCACACAACATCGCCCTGCCGGAAACCGCAAGCGTGTTTTACCGTTCGTTTCCAACATCAAGGCAGTGCTTCCCGAAGCCAGGCCCGCTTTTGCCAGCCCCCCCCTGGTCGTCCCAACGACGAGCGCTTGCCCATCGACCCACTGGAGATCTTTTCCGGGGTCCCAGAAAACTCATCCAATTGTGGACGAAATCCTGCACCACTTAAGCAACCATGAGACACAAATCGGTGCGAAATGTATTTGGCAACCATCCACATACTGGCAAGGAAAAGCGCCAAACAACGGTGGGGTTCATGGCCTTCATGTCGATTTCAGAAGTGGAACATTGGGGTTTAGGGTTTAAAAGCCTCTGAGAATTACTTTGTCTGCATGTGGGATGTCTTTTTTTGGGCCTCCGGCTTCATCCAGAGTTAATGGCCGATCCAACCCCCCCCCCAAAGCTGTAAAAGCTGTATATAAGGTCCATTAAGGTTTCTTGCCCCAGAACGCCTGCATCGATTCAGCAACTGGTTCGGCTGACCAGCTGAAGGAAGAACAAGCTGGATGCATTCAGCATGCCGAACCGTATCAGGCTCCCCGCAGGTTCGTTTCCGTATGTGCCAAGCCGTAAGTTCGTGAGCTAGCAAGACAAGCACTTAACTTCGATGAATGTGTAGTTCTACAAAAAGACATGGGCAGTTAAAACCCAAAGGAGCAAGGTTTGTTAAAAGGGGGGGGTTGTCCCTGGGTTTATTTTTGGTAGATGGAGGAAGTCTTTTTCCCCGGGTGAGGGTCATTTTCTGCAAGGAGATTTAGCAATGCTGACCCTGGATGACAAAACGACAATGACGACCATCTGAGTGGGATGTCCGCACTGGGTCTGGACCATGTTGTAAAAAGAACCTCTGACAAGAAATGGGGTCCCGAGGGTACAGCTGGAGCTCTTTGAGCGCTGCAGAGTCGGCTGTACGTGGTCTAGACGCACTGAAGGGAGGTTGGTCGATGGGTGAACAAGACTCCTCCGAAGGATTGGCTCTATATTGGCCACCTCAAAACTCAAGACCGTGGTATTTTCACAAACGGGTGCCACACTTTGACACATGCCATCCAACGATGGTTGTAAAAGCAAGGGGGACCTCTAAAACTGGTTCAGCCGCTGTTTGCTTGCCCTGTCAATGCCACTCAGAATGCAGGTCCTTTTCAGCAAAACTGGGCCATGGAGAGTTTGCGAATTCCCTAGAGAGGCACTACAGAAGGACCCCCGCATTTGTAGCTCAAGGGAAGGATGAAGCATTTGGGTACAAAGAGGTGTTCAGATTCTTGACAACCCCCCATGATGGGAGTTAGGCCCAGTTATAGAATGTACATTTTATTGTTTGCTTCACTTTGAGTCACTGGTAAGATGTAAAATGTATCCTAAGTCTACCCCAACTCCCATTTGAGTCACAATCAAAACCCGGTATTAAAATGGTCTACCCAGAACCATATAAAGAATTAAGAAGGCGGCTGCAACTATTTCCGGCTGGGACTGCCCCTTACTAACCTTCATCTACCCGTGCTTTGATTGTGGCGCATTTCCTTCGAACAGTCCAGCAGAAAGAAAAAACAAAAACAAAAAAACAAAAGAAAACAAAAACAAAAGAACGCGGAGACCTCTTCCTGCCCTTCCCCACCGCCCCCTTCCGGACCGGCTGGGCCCTCCCCACCCTCCGCTCCATCGGCGTGCGGGGGTGAGAAGCCTCCTCCTGCGTCCAGCGTCGCGCGCGTCGCGGTCTCGCGCGGGAGGTGGAGACTTCTGATGTTTGAGGGCTTCCGCGTGGACAGCCCCAAGCGCTGCGTGCAGAGCGGGCGCTCGCTGACCTCCATTGAGGGAACTCGCTGGCGCGAGTTCTGAGTAGGGGTCGATCGCCCAAATGTCTGTGGCTCAAAATTAAACAGGTTTTTTGAGCCACAGCCAAATAAGCTCTGGGGTGGTTTGGGATTGCGAGGGAGGGTTCCGGAGGTTTGTTGGGGATGCCACTTGGCTTATTTTGTTGGGTTGAAATTCACTCAGTTGTTCAGTGACCCTGGAAAAAAAGAATTGGAACCCTGTTTTGGGAAGACCATTTTTAGTGGGGCAGCCAGGTAACTTGCCTAGGTCCTCCAGTAGAGAGGTTCCAATCTGGGTGCCCGATTTTTTGCGGAAGTCTATTTTTAGTAGGGGAACCCTCCGCCAAAAAAGGGTGAAAGGGGCACTACTGGAGGACCTAGTGTTTCTCAAAACCGGGGACCCCCAAAATGCGGGTTTTGAAGGAAAACCAAAAGGAAACCGCCTGCCTGGACGGTCCCCAATTTTGAGAAACACCCTTTTGATGGTACCCACCTCAGGTTGGTTTACGTCCAAGCCCCAATTTGGACACATACCATTGTCGCTGCTCCCACTGCTTGTCTCCGATTCCTGCCGCAAACCGATCGAAATTGCCTTTTTCTCTAAACTTTTCCCGCCCACCCAAAAGACACATGTTTGCTTCTGGTCCATGCTTCGTGCACCTTACAATCCAAACTAGTGTTCACCGAGCTCCCACGTCTGGAGCGTATTGCCGCAATCGCCGCTTTTGGCCGCTGAGTCTACCCCATCTGAAGCCCAAAAAAGAACGCCGCTGAACGTCTCCTGCTTGTCCTTGAGGTTTGGCAACGCAAAGCACCAGCGGTATGCCACCTCAAGCACAGGTCGAGCCTGCCTGAGCCTCGAATTCTCGAAGCCTCGCCGGGATCAGAGGCGCTTTCACCAAATAACGGATCTTAATGGCCCCTCCCTGGCTGGAACTTAGGGCCGGAGTCGCTTGGCTCGGGCCCCGGCTGAAAGCACCGTGGGATTTGTCATTCGCACCTGGGCATCTCGCAGCAAAGAAATTCGGATGGACGAGCAAGTCAAAGGAAGTCAAGCAATGAATCTCGGTGTTTGCTTGAAATTACTATTATCGACTTATCTGGAGGCACACATAAGAACGGCTTCCAACGACTTGCACGACACGGTGTGTGCATTTCCTGCCGGGATCTGCGAAAAACCCAGCTCGAATGTTGAGGCTTTTTTCTACAGCAATGACTCACTCTGGTTTTACAGTAACCCCCCCCCCCAGTGTCTCAGGCGTCGTCATCTATAGAAACCGCCCCGTCCCGGCTCAGACGCCTCCATTTTCTTGGAGGTGTCGTTGAGCACGGTGCCGAAGTCGATCTTGGTCGTATCCTGAGAAGCCAAAATGGAGCTTTAAAATGGCTTGTGTGAGCACACGCCCCGAAAACGGCTTGTCGTGCATTGTGTGTTGTACGTGTTGTTCCTTTTTAAAAAGGCACGTATTGAAACTACCTTGCCTGTTTCTTGGGTGTGTGTTTTCTTTGTTTGTTCGCTGGCTGGCTGTGTTTGTGCCGGACTACGGCACAAATTTGCGGCGGCTGTTCACTCTGCCTGACCCAAAGAAGTCCAGAACTGCTCCAAAATCACAAAGCATCAAGGAGCATGATCCCCCCCCAGTGCAGGAGCGTGCCAGCACATCCGGGTAAACCCCAGAACTGACAGAGACTCAGCCTCAGTCCCATCTGCGGCTGTTGCGAGCACCCGTGCTGAAGTCAAGGGACTGAAACCCCCAGCCTTTACCCAAATATGGCAGGTGCTTCTTGGCTCCCCTTCCAAGCAGAGAGACCCCCGGGCATCCGGGTCTGAAAAAAGGGCCGTTGCACCAAGCCAGATACGTGGGGCGGGGGACCGGCGGGTCCCTCTTGTACCTGAGCTCTCGGCCAGCTCGATGTTCGGCCACACCACCTGGGACCATCAACCAGCGGTCACTTTGAGCTCCCATAAAAAAACGAGCTCTCTGTGGACCACCTACAAAACAGAAACCCAGGTGGTCTGTGGTCTGTCAGACACCGGTGGTCACATCTTCAAGGAGACCTTCGAACATGATAGACTGAATGCCTAGTTAACAAGCTAGGTCCTCCAGTAGAAAGGTTAGAATAAGGGTACCCTTTTTCTGTAGTCTATTTTAGTAGGGGAACCCTCCCCCAAAAGGGGGTAAACGGGCACTACTGGGAGACCCAGAAAGGTTGCTTTGTCAGCTCACCAGACTGGCGGCTGGCTAGCTGCAGTCGCGTGCCGACAGAAACCACACGCGGCTTAGCCTGTACATGACCAGCCCCGTGCCCACAGGAAAGCCGCTACAGCCTAGGTCCTCCAGTAGAGAGGCTAGAATAAGGGTACCCTTTTTTCTGTAGTCTATTTTAGAAAAGGGTAAAAGGGCACTACTGGGGGTCCTAGCAGCAGGTACAAGCAACAGAGACCACCTTTCAACCAGGCAAGCACCCCTTTCCCTGACACCAAAGTGGGCCATCCCTGTGGCTGCTTGTTTTCTTTTTAACTGCCAAAGAGCCATGGGGTGAAATCCCTCCAACCGCGGAATCAGAGGCTCGGGGTCATTTCCGGACCCCCGGAAAGGAGTTGAAGCGAACAAGAGGCTACAGCCTGGGCCAGACTTAGACGCTTGAACGCCTTGCAAAGACTTAGACGTGTTGCTGGCTCAAAGGAACAAGGAACCCCCCAAAAAGGCTATTTCGGGCAATTGACAGGGGAGTTCTTCCTCCCAGATCCAGGCAGCCTCTTTGGAGAAGAGCATGGCTCCAGAAAATCAGTTTGTATTTACAAGGCCATGGAGAGACACTAGTCTAGGGGTTGATTCCTTTTCCATTCTTGTCAACCATCGCTCTTTCCAAAACCCGCCCGCTTTCCCTGGGTTTCCGCAGGTTTTGTAGAAAGATTCGGATCCCTGGGTTCAGAATGGAAATGGAAGGTACCGCTAGAACTAGGTGAGCTGTGAAAGCTGCAGCCTCCTTGACCCGCTGTTTCAACAACCAGCCGCGCGCCTTGCCCACGAGGTCCACCATGTTCACCGCAGGATGCTCGTCGTACTGGATGGTCATGCCTTAAGCTCAAGCTCACTGACCCTCCGGTGGCCGTGGGGAACCAAATCGCCCAAAAAAGAAGGAAATAGCAACAACAGCCTCCCTACAATTAAGGAAATGTTGCATAAAAGGACACCTCCACACAAAAGAGAGAGAGAGAGAGAGAAAAAAAGAAAAAACAGCAGCGATGGTATGTGACCCATTGTGTCAGAGACCGGTTCGCTCGGTGTTTCTTTGGGTTGCCTTTGGCTCCTCTTCACTAGGAACCGTTTTTGGAGTTTCGGTTCCTTTCTAAAAACCGCAACGAAGTGAATCCGAAACGGGGTCCTGGACTCTACAACACTCCTGGATCAAAATGTGACTTCCAACATGGGATTTATGCCGATAGTTGGAGGGGGGAGGGGGCCAGGGGGCTGGCTTGCTTAATCCGCTGAACCTCTCCACTTTCCAGATGGACTCCCATTTTTAGAACGATGCGGGAGCTTGTCGGACGTGAGGGACCAATTCGTTTTTGGAGGGTGGCCAAAGAGTTGCCAAAAAAAAACCTGGAACCCGACATGGAACACAACAAACGCCCATGCGCAAAGAAACATATGGTCTTCGATGACTATTGGGGACTCACTTCTCAGGTGTGATGCCGTATCTGGATTGAAATGATGAATGCTAGCACCTGATGGGTCCCAATCACCATGGCCTCAACAACATCACCACGTAACAGGGGCCACCCTCCACAATATCTGGGTTAACATGAAAGGGCTATGAGGCCCTACTTGCAAACCCAAAGTGAACATACTCAAGCTGAAAGCCATATACGATAGTTTGGTCTTTGTACCCGGATGGCCCCTATACAACCCATTTATAGCCATCAAGTTCCGTGTACTTCCTATTTGGGGCAAGCATGTAAGTAGAGCCTTGAAAACGGCGCGCTGGCGTGATCAAAACAAATTGTGCTAACTGAAAAGCGCTTAAATCGCCTCAAGCAAATCATTGAACCTTCACAAGGGTGGGTCCTGCTTGCCACTCAGTCGACACGAAACGGAACCACCAAGAGAGGGCCCAATTTGCGCTGTCAGGGTTGGACCGACCCACCATTTAAATATGTTGTAACACAACTTGTTTGAACATCCTTCTTTCTGACTCCCCTTCTTCCGGAAATGGCCATGGTTGCACTCATGTCCCAAAGAAAGAGGTGGCCAGGGTATTGTTGTGTCACACATGTTGCCCAACCCTGTCAGTCAAGCCGTGAGGCGTTGCTTCACCGTGCCGCTCTTCCGGTCCACCTGGCGATTCGCCGCCGTGGACACCAGCCCAGTTGTACTTCCCCCGTGCTTTCGGATGGCATCCCTCCTTATGGCCAAACACCCAGCGAATCTGCGGGGTTTCCCAACACAGGGCAAAAGAACGGGAGATCAACCTGTAGAAACATGTGAGCTTGGATTTGTTGGCAGTGGCAGAGTTGCTCCAAAGATCCAAGCACAACGGTAGTTGAATGTGGTGCCTAAGGGGAAATAAAATAAATGGACCCAATACCAATGGTCTACCCCTTGTGGGTTGATCATATTTTTTAGAGGCTTAGAGCGACCCTGTCAAAATGCCGCCACTTTTGAAGCAGCACCTCCAGAATGTGTAAGGGTTCTGTTCCGGACATGCCCGTGTGGTTGCGAAAATTGCACGGAGCCCTTCCAAAAGTTGCTTTCTACACCTTTTGGGGCCCCGAAAGCGACTACTTTTGGCTAAGGCCGATTGAACAAATGTAAAACAATCCAAATATGTGCGCGGTTTTTAC